AAGATAGCCATGGCGGAAATTTTGTTGTGCGCCGGGGCGGAAGGTGATCTGGTATCGAAAGCCCTGCTACAATCGTGCGCCACTTACTTCCTCGAAATGGTGCACCTCTTAGTCTCTTATGGTGCATCAATCGAATATCAGGATGCGATCGCTGTTCGCAAAGCCGTCTCAAATGGAAAGGTCGACTTGGTAGAAGTTATGTTAAGTGGGAAATCCACATTCAGCTCTCATTACGCATCTGAGTGCGTAGAGCTTCTTCCAAAAAAGTTGAGATTTGAAGAACGTCACTCGCTCCTCAATCTGCTGCTTCGCAAAGGTGCATCCGGAGCGCCCTTGAACGAGGCGCTAATTGATGCAGTGGAAGCCGGCGATGTCGAGGCGGTTAAAATACTTCTCACGCCGTTGTTCCCCGAGGGTAAAATTGTCGGGGCTAAAGATATTCGGAAAGGTCCGCGAAGTATGGTATTTGAGAGACATGAAACTGCGTCGACAGACCATAAAGGTGCCCTAGCGTTGCAGATCGCCGTGAAGAAAGGGGACGTAGCTATTGCAAACTTGATTCTTTCGAGTAAGCCGCCCAACCCCGTTGCTCTCGCTCAGATCTTCCCTAGCGTGCGGAATCTACCCCCCCTTGGGCGGTATCAGATTTCAGAGTCATTCTTAAGAGCTGGACTTACCGGACCGTCGGTTCATTCGGCCCTCGAGAACGCTATTGACGAGCAGCCACCACAGCGAGATGAGAAGCTCATCTCACTCTTCCTCCGTTATAATGCAGATGTAAATTTTAACGAAGGCCACACTATTACGGCAGCTATTTCACAGAAGGATATCCGACTCTTAGAACGATTGCTCAAAAGCAAGCCCACAATCCAGGTAGCAGCCAGAGCGATTCCTAGGGCTATGGAAGTCGATGACGGCTCGATACGGTTTCAAATGGTTACCATGCTCTTAACAGCCGGCGCATCACAGGGGGGACCTGAAGTATCAGCAGCTGTTGAGGCAGTGATACAGATTGATCCGCCAGATAAACGACTACTTAAAACATTACTGCAGCAAGGGAATGCGGATGTCAACGTTAATGGGGGGGTAGCCGTAGAGCGTGCCGCGCTACATTCTGACTCGGAAATTCTAGGAATGATTCTATGTCTGGGGCAGCCTAGTGCTAGTAGCCTAGAACGAGCTTTAAAGAGCATAGGAAATCTTCCAATGTCCACAGATAAAACCGAAAAGCTAGATGTGATATTACGCCGAACGCAGTCAAAGGATGCGGTTACTAAGCTGCTCTTACAAGAAGTGTTGGCTATTTTAAAAGTACCTCTCCACGAACAGAATTTCTCTTCAATAAAAGTCCTACTAGCAAACGGCGCCGATATCAACGCTATGAATGCCGAGGCGTTGTGTCGAGCGGTAGCCGCAGCAAACATGCAATTGGTAGAGCTTTTGTTCACGGCTAACCCCACCCCTACTTCGATGGCATTCGCTATGCCTCACGCTCTTCGCATTCGTGAACTGATGGATAGATTAACGTTCGCGCAAAAAATCCTAGAAGGCGGTATACCGGCAACTGAAGTGAATAGAGCTCTCGTCTTTGCTGTCAGTACTTATCCAGACGACATACCGCTTATCAATACTCTCTTAGCCCGTGCAGATACTCAAGACGGTCTAGCTTTGATCGAAGCTGTTAAAGGAGAAAAGCAGGACGTCGTAGAGCTGATTCTAGGCAAGAAGACTTTCCCCGTTGAGATTCTCAACACAAGTTTTGCCCAGGCAACGAAGAGCAAGAACAAAAGATCGAGAAGCATGTCGTCTATGAGTTTACTAAAAGCCGGCGCATCAGGAGAAGTAGTATCGGATGCGCTATTAGCAGCCGCATCAGATGGCGACGTAGAGTTCGGAACCATCTTAGTACAGAATGGGGGCAGCGTAGAACATAAGAATGGTCAGGCCATCATAGAAGCTTGTAAGGCAGGGGCAGTCGACGTCCTCGCAATGCTGCTAGCAGGCGAATCAAGAGTCGCCCAAAAAACGCTACAGAGAGGATTTCAAGCCGCTACGCAAGTTGGAGACTTAAAAAAGCGAGCAGAGATCTTCAAACTACTCTTGCAGGCAGGAGTTTCCGGAGAAGTAGTCGATGCTCAACTCGTATCAGCTGGGAGGTATGGAGACGCCGGGAAAGATCTCGTCCGACTTCTGCTAGTGTACGGAGCGAGTCCTGATTACAACGACGGAGATGCTGTCGAAAAAGCAGCGAGGAGCGCCTTTTTGGGTAACTTGGAGATGCTATTAGGCATCATTGAGGTTGGTGGGCGTCAAAAACGACCATCTTCTCACACCTTGGTCCGCGCGATGGATGCTTGCTGGGACCTAAGCAGAGATACGAGATATGCCATTATGAATTGGGTTTTCCAAGCAGGAAGGCCCGTTCCCAGCGCTCTGCATTCTTCTCTAAACCGTGCTGTCAACGAAGAAGATCCCGACGAGAGACTTATCGAGCTGCTTGTGAACCACCGTGCTTCTACCACCGCAGATGGCTGCCAGACTTTAATTGATGCGACTACAACGCTATCTCCGTCAGCATTTTCCAAGCTCTTAGATACTAAAATCGCTGTCGAGGACGCTTCCTTAGTGTTTAGTAGGGCATTTGCACCCGATCGCGTTTCGTCGTGGCTATCTGGTCGAGGCTACGAGATTGCCAAATGCCTGCTAGAGAAAGGCGCTGCCGGTGATGGAGTTGGATCAGCATTTGCCACGATACTTGAGTTATACATCGAGACACATGCACAGCTAGCAAACGACTTTGTGGATTTACTCCTCAAACACGGCGCTGACGTCAACTATAACCACGGAGAGGCGTTGCAGAATGCGGCTGCGCAAGGAGACCCCAATCTTCTTAAAAGACTCCTACGCGAGAATCCTAACCCCCAAGCGCTAACTTTTGCGTTGCCTCGTGTATTTGACGCTCCTGCATCCGAGGAGGACATATATGATCTTATTACATTATTCGTCGAATACGGTGACGGACAAAACCGGATGGATGTTGCGTTCATCCAAGCTGGTTTGGAGCCCATTCTCGTCAAAGCTCTAAACCAATTCCCACGATCTACGAAGATTCTCGGGGCATTATTAGATGCCGGGTTCTACCATGACCAATTAACGACGTGCAGAGTAATGCAGGAGATAGAGGAAGAAGAGACTGTTACCCTGCTCATGTGGGCCCTTATTCAACCTCAGAAGAAAATCAGTAGCGGAGTTATCAACTTACTAATTGAAAGGGGTGCTAAAGTTAACTTTGAATCGCCTATTTCTCGTGTTACTCCTCTCATGCTAGCTATACAATGCCGCCGGCAAGACATTGTGAAGTCTCTCCTACTGGCAGATGCTGAAGTTGACGTTACAGATGCAACAGGGAGGTCCCCCTTGTCCATGGCATCTTCTATCGGCGGTGATTTGGCTATCACCATAATGTCCAATTTACTAGCGGCAGGAGCTTCGAGAAACGATGGTTCACTTCACAATGCAGCGCGAGAGCTTAACCTGCAAGCCATGCAAGTATTGGTGGAATATAGACATGACCCTGACTTCCCGAGCCCTCTGCATGGTGGGCGCAGTGCACTTGGTGAGCTATGCCTACACGCAGCTGACTTCAGCGAGATGACGCCCCGCCGAGAGAAGGCAATGGAAAAGGCAATGAATTTCCTCATTCAGAGCGAATCCGATATCACGCTACAATCCGATGGGAAATCTGTCCTCCTTTTGGCTCTCGAATCATCTGATCCCTTAACCACAACGAAAACTCTACTGCGGGCCGACATGTGGAGATACATCAATAAACCATTCAACTACTTTAACGACGGCAAATTCACTTACTCTCCCACCATGTATGTTCAACGCGTGTTGCCAGATTCGGATCACAAACCACAACTCTTAGCACTACTAAGGGCAAATCGGGGGACTGATGTATACTATTCCAACTCGGGTCCGCAGCCTGACGATGCTATCGGCATGCCGACTAATATCCAGCTCGAAGAGCAAGAACGTAAGGCGCGGTTAGCCCGCCTCCAAAATGATAATGAGGACCACATGCTCGCAATTCAGCGGAACAAGGAGTTAGCAGCAGTGCAGGCGCAGATATCGGCTAACCAGGCGGAGCTAGAGGAAGCGCGCAAAAGGCGGGCGCACAGCGCAGACCTATCCGCGATACAGGACCGCGCGCGTGTCGAAGAAGAGCTATTCAACAACGCAATGCGGCAGCAACGCACACGCCACGTGGCCGAGGTCGAGCACCAAGAGGCACTAACGCACGCCAGTTTAACACGCGCGCAGGCCCTCGCCGACGCAGAACTTGCCATCGAAGCACAGAAGCAAAGCCGCATGCTCCAGTGGGAACGTGACGTGGGCAACGAGCGCGTCGACAACGCAAACCAGCTAAGCAGCATAAGACTCCGGGAGAGGGAGGAATTAGAGCGCCTGGACCAGAAGGCAGATGCAAGACTGCAGAATAGAATACAGAAGCAACAGAAATTGGTTGATAGCCAGAGTGCGTTGGCTGCGAATATTGCGGCCGCGGGACCCAGGGCGCAGAGGCAGATTGGGTATGTGAGTGGTGAGTTAGATTAATTAGCACGTAAATGGACATTGGCTACCTACCTACCTTTGAGGAGGTTGGAGCAAATCACGCAGTTTTCGGCGTCGACGGCGTAAGGATTATTCGATCAAAAAAGCCGAGTTTTGATATACTTGGCGTATTTTGGAGAAGGTATTCTAGTATTTTAGTTAATTAAAGATAATGCCACAGATGTAGTACGTGAGAGGGATAGAAAGCGAGCATCTGCAGTTGTAGCCTTGGTTATCCTGTGCTATTCTACAAACCAGATTAAGGCAGGTCTTGATCAATTAATGTTACGACCTAATATAAGACTGCGAATATTTACCTAAATACCTGTTTAGGTGCCTAATTCGTCCGCGAAGTTTATTTATATGAATTCAGTAAGGTTGCTAACTTGATTAATAAGGTTATTATATATATATTATGCGCATCTATATAATCACGGCGAATCTATAACATGAGTTTGAGACACTAGTCTAGTTGAAGAACTCGTAGTAACCCAGTTCTCCCCTTAGCTTTTAATACCTAATAAACAACACTTTATAACCAATCTTGAGTATCCTAGTCCTACCAGGCCACCAGAACACCCTCTAACAGCAGATCTAGTGACGGATATAAGATATGCCAGTATGAAGGGGTTTTTTATTAACCGATTAACGTAAATACCAATCCACCTCTACACATGCTAGTAACCCCTTTGTTGGTATTAAGCCGTGCACGTTACAACGCCAACCATAAGTCTAGTCTATCTCGTCCCTGAATCCGTATTTTTATTGGAAATTCGCAAAGAAACGCACCTTAAATTCACGCTGTTATTCGACGTTTCTGCGCATTAAGCTGTAAGGCCGTTGCCTCAACAGCAGGCAAAGAAGCCACGGCCGTTCCATGAGCCAGTTCCTCCTGAATCTCGGCCTGGCGGTTCAGATAGCTCAGGTAAGTCTGCCAGCCGACGGCCACGACGCCCGAAACGACACTGCGGTACTCGATCGGGATGAAAGTAAAGGTAAACGCGGTAACCGCAGGCCACAGCTTCCAGGCGTTGAGCCAGCTGATGGGAACAGTGCGACGAATTCGGTCCCAGGTCTCGGCGAGAGAATCCCCGGATAGCAGCGCTTGGGCGCCAAAGAAGTAGCTATTGAAGGTGGGCGTGAAGACAAGTTGGTTGACGACGATCTTGACGCCGAGGGAGAGGATGTGCGAGGGGTAGTTGAAGTGGCGAGAAAGCCAGACGAACCTAGATACCGTATTAGTTCTGATGTTTGGCTTCTCTTTATCATATACCTAACGTATTAAACATAGACATGTATTGCTGGCCGAGATATACATCAAAACACAAAAAGATAACATTCAAGATCCATGACTACCTAAGGTAGGTACCTAACCAACCCAAAGGAAAGACAAGTAAAACGAACAGAACTCACCAGAGGAAGGTCGGCACAGCAGATACGCCACCGATAACCATATTCCTAGCACTACGCTCAGGCACGTAGTCCTTGCCGCTTATGCGCTGGGCGCTAATGTCGGCGGCTAGATAGATGACGAGCGCAGAGACGATCTGCGTAGCCCAAGGTCTTTTCTGCTGGGCGCGACCATAGGCTTCACCGGCGCGTGTTAGGGGGCCGAGTCTCTGCCACAGAGGTACGGGAGGAACCGGCGTGCTACCTACCGGGATCGGATCCCCGGTTGGCGGTTTGGTCTCGCCTCCGTTGCCGGGATTGCTGGACTGGAAGCGCCGGGGCGCTGAGCGTGGGAAGCGTCCGATGCGTAGGTGCTCTAGGCGCTGCCGCAACATGCTGCTCCGCAGCATGGACGTGGAAAGTGGCATGGTAGCTTAATTGAGACGGGTACACTTATGCTGAGGGAAGGCGTCTAGGGATATAATCTAGGGGGGGAGACGCTTATTCACACGAGAAGGGAACGAGGGATTACTGGAATATTATGATTGAAGGTGGGATCTATAAAAGAATAAAAATAAAAGTATAGAAACGCCGGAGTCTTTTGCGAGAGTAGGTATTGATACTCCGAACGAAGCACATATCCGTACCTAATGCTAAATTTAATGACGTCGGATTTGTCTCGGCCCTAGTCGGAGATCCGAGTTCATAAAATCGAGTTTTGGTCTGTCAACTACCTAACCGCTACACTACCTAGGTACTCGAAGGTATTTTCGTAATGGATTTTTTTATTCTATTACATTATACTATATATGTGTCGGACAGTTACGTCCGACAGTATCTACAGATCTGCTAATGGCTGATCGACGTAATGTTAGGTTGGCCTACACCGTCATGTGACTCTATATTTATTAATTAACAAGACCGATCCTACATTTGGTTTACTGCTTGACCCCTCGCTGCCAGTCCTGCTCCAACCCCTCTTGCAGTCCGCTCGAGTAAGACCAGCGGATTGCCAAATTGGGCAGCAGACTCACGGCAACTCCCGAATATATATGCTTCTATGAATTCCATCTCTATTTCCTATAGGCAATGCCCTTAGAGACTACCAAGAAATCCTACAAAACAAGTAGCCATGTCATTTGTAGGTTCTGCCCAAGGGCCACGAGTTGTTAAACGGTCAAGGCTTCCCCAGCGAAGACGGGAAAGTGACGATATACGTCTGGGTGTTCTCATCCTCCAGTTCAGCTACGTAGACCTCAAAGGTCTAAACCAAGAAGCGAAGCAAGTCAAGGAAGCATTCGAATCTATGGGGTATCTATGCGAGATATACAAAATCCCAAATAGTGATTCCCAGAATAAGGCAGAAGAAAAAGTGAGAACCTTCCTAGATGGGGAGGGACAAGAACTACGAATCGTCTACTACCACGGACATGGCGGATACCCGTCCCATTCGACCGGACTGGAATTTTCTAGGTGAGGACTTGATCATATGATGGTATCCTAGACCTTGGAGCTCCAAACTCACATTTCATAAGTCACAACATACCTACAGGCGAGGGGGCGTCTCGCGATGCCAAAAGATTCCGGGACGCGATTGAAAGCGCCTTAGCTTCCAAGAACTGGAAGGAGCTTGAAGCCATCAGGGATGATCCACAATAGTAGGTGACGAGACCGAATTTACGGACCAACTAACTGGTCAACTAGCAAACGGTACGATGATGTCTCTTGTGTACAATGGGACCCCATTGCGAAGATTATCATGGAATCAGATCATGAGGTACTGGTGATCCTGGACTGCTGCATGGCTGGAGGGGCCTCTCTATCGTTACTCAAACGTGCTGTTAAGGCTTTCGATAACAAGCCAAGAAAGTCTAAGGCAGCTAAGGAACTAATTGCGGCAACTGGATGGTGGTCGGATACGGACAAGTATATGAGTCCAGCTCTATGCAGTGCGTTAAGGAAAATAGGCAAAGACCGTAAAAGTATTCCAGAGCTAGTCTTGATGATTGACGAGGAACTCGCGGAGAAGACCGCCCGTGAGAAACAGGAGCTCTCGAAGAAGAGGAACGAACTTGACCGTAAATGGGACCTGTTAAACCAGCAGTCGAGTGCAGCAGATAGAGGACAACTAGAGGACCGTGAGACCCAAGAGAAAGCGCTCAAATGGGATTACTTAAAGCTCGACGAGGAAGATCGCCAGGTTAGCGACGAGGAAAAGTTTGCCCAGCAAGTTGTGCATCGGCGTATACAAATCCCGACAGTACCGGGAAAGGAGCTTACACTTACGCATCGGACGTTAACCAGGAAGATTCGACAGGCTTAGATTTTCCGAATGTTCTTTCGTGTATTGGATATGGATTTTTGAGAGCCCAAAAGGCGGCATACAGCCAGACACGAACACGACACGAACACGACACGAATCTGGCACAGATAGGTGCCTCGCATGGAAGTTATGATCCCTTGCTCTAGTAGTGCGCAGATGCTCGTACTATCGTGGCACAGATGACTGACGGCCTACCAATCCCTCAACGAACCGTCTGTATCGCCCGATTGACATGTTACAGCGTCCGGGTTGGAATGAAGTATCGTTGCAGAACTTGATATACCATATATATATATATATAGATACCTAAATACCTACCTAACTTACTATATTTATATTATTATATCTCCGCGTTTATCTTTCCGGCATATACATTCCCGACCCCCTAACCCCTTTTCTCCCATATCCACAATTTCCATAAATTTAACCCATCACACTACAATAGAGCCTACCCAAATAGTACATCACCACCTACTCCTGCTAGGACCAGTGACACCTCTATTATCACTGCTTTATTTCCTGCTTTTGAAACAACCCTAATCCATCATGTAAGCAATCAATTCTCGTCATCACAGCAACAAAAAAGGTTCTCGGGCACGCAGGTACCAACTAACCTTCGACGCTCGGCATCCACGGATCCCGCAACTTGCAGAAGAACTCGCCCTTAGGCTCTACCTGGCCGCGAGCATGGTCGTCCATCGTCCCGTAGAAGACGTATATATTATCTCCCGCGTTTCCCTGCACACAATTCCCATCAATCAGTGTGACGTTTGCAAAAGAATCTTTAAAAATAAGGTACCTATGCAAGCCAAATAATAGGTAGGGGCGAGAAGCTCGAGTACCCATCGAGTGTAGGTCGGTACCTAATCAAAGAGACACAAATAGGTTGGGAGGTACATACCCCGTATTCCAAAAGCGACCCGCCACACGTATCGCAGAACTCGCGATGTAGCAACACGCCGCTCCCGTTGTTTGCTTCGTGTACTTTTACATGATCCTTCCCTTGGGTTATCTTAAATGCTGACTTGGGAATCTTCGTAGTGATACCATGCTCGCCGCCCGTGAACTTCTTGCAGTTACCGCAGTGGCAGATACTTGTGCGCGCCTGCGACTCCGGGTCCTCGAGCGTGATGGTGTATTTTATTAGACCGCAATAACAGCTCCCTGGAAGTGGAGTCATGGTTTTACTATACTATTTTGCTGGTGTCGTTGACTGATGTTGGTAGGTATGTAGAATCTAGATGGCTGCGAGGTTATGAGTTTGAGAAATTGGTGGTTTAGGCATCTAGGTAGTAAATAGGTATGTAAAGATATGATAGGTACTGAGAGACGAAGAGTCAGGTAACGGTAACGGTAGATCTAGTAAGTTTGATAGCTAGGGATAAATAATAAGATGTCGGCAGAGTTTGCCGCGGATTCTGGTCTTTAATCTGGCCTTTAACATAAGACGCCTCAACTGATAATCACACCATTGATCTCTTAGTATAGAGACTCGATAAATTCCTCACTTATTTCCAGAGTATGTATAAAATCTTCAATTGTAGTTATTTCACAATCTTCTTCAACGTCTTGGTAATCCTGTCCCTCTATGACGTCGAAGAGGCGTCATAAATGCAATCCAGTCAGATTGTTCGTCCCACTAGGCCGGGTCGGACGTATTAGCCGCGGGGGGTGCCGCTCCACGACACCCGGCCTACCCGGTCTTCAAGGAGAGATTTTTACCTATATTCGTGACATGAGCAGTGCATAATGGAGCATACGCTTCAGCCATGTTTATATACTTTAAAGGTGGAGGCCTCTTTAACAATGTCACATCATAGGATTTATTCCAGTCTTGGTTGCAACACTCTAGCGTAATTCTGAGCATATTACCTGGTACTTGTACTATTTTACTCTGTTGATTGTTCCAATACTAATATACCGCTAAAAGGCTGCTTATATTCGCTTGTTTTTATATAGTACGTTGAGTACAAACATAGTCACTTCGCTTACCCTTACGATATCAGCTACCATCAGCGGATAATCATTCCGGATTCTCTGTGTTTGAGATGTAGGTAGTCGTAACGTTCGCTGAGCCAATGTTGTTACTCTGATGCGACCTTCTCCAAAACTGGCTTACTATTCCTTAAGCAGTCTTGACAAGTTCTGCCAACAAAGTGTTCTTTCGAAGTTTTATTTTTCTTCTGTCCGCATTCTCTGCAATGAAGATGACATAGGTAGAAATTGCAATCTTTGGCGGGACATTCAACCTTCCATCGACAGTCTTGGGTGAGATGATTCCCTCCGCATGGACATTTCTTCAAGGAGCATTCTCTTCCTGAGTGACCCTTGATACCGCACATGCAGCAACGATAGGAGCAAAGCATGGCGTTCTTGTGGTGGCCTGAACCTGGGAGACTTGGACATCCGCATTTTCGGCTGCAACTAATATGACACTCGAAAGCTGTGTGGTATTGTGGGAAGGGCATGCATTTACATCGGTTGCTCGCCTTAGTTGGGCAAGCGTGTGCCTTGTGGGACGGCGAGTTGCAATAACCACATCCTAAGGGGCAGGCTGAAGAGCGATGACTACTATACTGAGAACAGTTAGCACACGGATTCCTAATCTGCCCCTGGACCCGTTTCTGCGTAGACTTCTTCTCAGACACTTTGGGTTTATTAGTGAACATTGCTCGAATGTGAGTTCGGCTTAAGCTTCTACGGCGTGATAGTTTATCCAGTTCAGACAGAGGACGTCGAGGGAAGTAGATTATCCATCCATCTTCGAGGTCACTCTTCCAGTCTTTTGTATTTAAAGCTGCCGTCCTCCAGGAATCAGGTGGAGGTAGACTGCTAGACCGCTGAGACTTCCCTCGACGCACACATAATGCATTGACAAAATGGAAGGTTTTGGCTGGACTTTTAGAATGGTTGCATGCTCGTGATGGGCTAGGGAGGGGCCGAAATTTTATAGCGCTGAGCCACCGCCTGCTAATAAACTGGGGATCGATAGAAAATTCGACATTAGAGGAGGTGTTGATTCTCAGGTGGTGGCCGCCGGAAAACAAAAAATAACCGTAATGTGTTTTTGAAAATGGCCTGTAACTTTTGGCGTGCTCTTTCATATCTTTTGTCCAACCGGACTTATGTGCGGCCAATAAGTCTGGGTGAAGACGGTAGAGATGGCCAAGCCAAGCGCGCATAGAAGGTTCGGATTCGAGATAATACTGTTCTATAAGCCCCAATGCAACCTCGCTAATAGTGACCTCAGGTTCGGGTAACGGGTAGTATTTTAGAGTGTCAATGAATATACCAGTGGAAGGCAAGTAGAGAAGCTGTAGTTCTGCTCCGAGTTCTGCTCCGATGAAAGTCGTGTTGTTATCAGTACTGAGCATCCTATATAGAAGCTGCATATCAAGGCCGAGTTCTCGATCGCGACTTTTGATTTGATGGAATTTGGCATCGTGATGTCTCTTGGTATAGACAACTGCTTTCACTCTCTTTGGTGACATATATTCCTGCATAATCCGGTTGACTATGACATCGCGATCGGATATAGACCTATGCTCATATTTGGTAAAATCCAAGTCGATACCGTTGAGGGGATAATGCGTAGCCATGTTGAGAAGCAATGAGGCCTTGTATCTATTGAAGTTAAATCCTTCCGGTTCATATTTTTACAAAGAACCATTTGGTAAGATTGAAAAAAGAATTATATCACGATTTCAACATTGAGTTAGGTAAAGATAACTTATGAAAGGTGAAGTTTGAGTGTGTTGATGGTGGAAGATGCAACGATTTGAACTGAACCTTGGGGGTTAGGTAGTAGGTACCTAAGGTACTTAGTACATCACAAAGTTCGGTCTGGCTTAATGTGGCTTGAATGATAGCTAACAGATGGCTTATAAATTGTGGCTTAGGTATATATCTCTTTGTGTTACATAGGTTAGGAGGTATTGTACCTAGGTAGATTAAGAGGTAGTTTTATGTAAGTCCAGACCCGCCCATAGATGAGCCAAGGTAACATTACTAATTCCCCAACCCCGAATGGCCTTCTTCACGATGCGGATTCTAGAGCTTTTTTTTTTCGGCGGGGAATAGCTGGGGGTGAAAAAAAGGGAAACAAGCTCGTTAGCTCTCCAGTTCTCTAGTTCTCCAGTTACACGCTAATTTCGGCCCGTAGAGCAGAAAAGCATCCCTCCGTTTTACGACACTCCGTTGACAGAAGAGGCAAGTCGCTCGAGGCCAAGACGTCCTCGGTCTAACCTTCACGACCATATTCCTCCAGCCATACTACCTCCAATGCTGCTGGTTATTCCTGAGACCTGGAGGGGAATAGCTCTTATCATCTGCCACTAGGTTTCGTCCAAACGGAGATGCTCCCTTGCGCCTTTGTCAACATGCAGAGAAGCAGGATAGAGCACGCCCGCCGTTACGTCGCGGGATTGCGTCGAAGGTCCAGAACCTCTCATACAGGACTGTGATTCTGATCCTGGGAATCGGAGCCGCGCCCAGTTTCCAGGTTCTCCTAGGTACTCGCGCTCCACTTTACTACTGCGCTGCGCGGCTGATCGGTTCCCTAGGCCAATATTCCCTATGAGTGTCCGCTGCTCATGATATGAGATCAATAATTTCCTCCTATTAACTAGATCAAATTCGATCATGTATATGTCTACTAGTGTGTTTAGTCAGACCTCGTTCGGAATGAGTTCCCGTCAGCCCACATGTACTCATCAGCCTCATAATCTATTAGTATATATATAAGAGTCCTTTGGACGCGTTTCTTTCACAATGTCGAGTCCTCCGGTTCCTATCACGCGAGTACTTGGCATGATACGCCGATAAAACCATGGGTCGTCTCGGTCCTTTTGTATCACTGTTTCTAGCAGTCAGCTTCAGTGAGCTACGCTCCCTAAGTATACGCCGACGGTGGTCTTACTAACACGGCGTAGATGTCCAGAAATGTCTCGGTCAGGTAAGCGCACCAACTCTGTACCAGGACAGCAAAACCGGTATCATATTCGACACATGGGCCGTACCGGATAAGGCCGACGGTTCTGGTGGTGTGTCAGCCTGGGGTGGTCTAACCTTCGGTGTTGCGCTACCAGAGAATGCCTTGACCGTCGACGCTACTGAGTTCATAGGATACTTGGTCAGTATAACAAGTTCAAATCTAATATATCGACACGCTAATCCTCATAACAGAAATGCGGTTCCAACGGCACAACAACTAACGGATGGTGCGGTTTGTCTTTCGGCGGGCCGATGACAAATAGCCTCCTTCTTATGGCCTGGCCATACGAAGATCAGATCCTGACATCGCTCCGTTTCGCCAGTGGATATACTAGCCCGGACATATATACAGGCGATGCCAAGTTAACTCAAATTTCGTCTACCATCGACAAGGACCACTATACTTTGATCTTTAGATGTCAGAACTGTTTAGTATGGGACCAAGACGGCGCATCAGGTTCCGCATCGACTAGTGCCGGCTCCCTAGTACTAGGATGGGCTAGCTCACTTCAATCTCCGGGAAACCCGGCTTGTCCAGCGGATATTACTATCAACTTCCACAGCAACGGCCAAAGCATCTGGGGCGCCACTCTAGACGAAAACGCAGCAAATCCATCCTATTCAGAATGGGCCGCCCAAGCTACCGCTACAATTACCGGAAGCTGCGGAGGAGCAACACCCACGACCACCACATCCGCTACTACGTCAATTTCTACTGCCACTGGCATCCCAGTCCCGACCGGCACTTATGACTACATTGTTGTTGGCGCCGGTGCTGGCGGAATCCCTTTAGCAGACAAGCTGAGTGAGGCTGGAAAGAGTGTATTGCTCATTGAAAAGGGGCCACCTTCTTCAGGACGATGGGGCGGCTCGCTCAAGCCGGAATGGTTAGACGGCACTAACTTGACTCGATTTGATGTCCCTGGCCTGTGCAACGAGATCTGGGTCGACTCTGCAGGTATTGCCTGCACTGATACTGATCAGATGGCTGGCTGTGTGCTGGGTGGAGGCACCGCTGTTAATGCTGGTTTATGGTGGAAGGTATGTCATGTGATATGTTCACAACTATAGCGATACTAATGGTGAGGTTTAGCCATATACTCTAGACTGGGATTATAACTTTCCCGAAGGATGGAAATCTTCAGACGTGGCCGCTGCAACCAAGAGGGCATTCTCTCGCATTCCTGGTACTGACCATCCTTCGATGGATGGAAAACGATACTACCAGCAAGGCTTCGAAGTTCTGGCTAGTGGTTTAAAAGCTGGTGGATGGTCAGAAGTTACGGCCAACGACGTGCCAAACCAAAAGAATCACACATTCTCTCACTCGCCGTTCATGTTTTCTGGTGGTGAACGTGGCGGGCCTATGGCAACTTACTTGGTCTCTGCTAGCAAGCGCAATAATTTCCATTTATGGATGGGCACGGCAGTAAAGAGAGTTGTTAGATCTGGTGGCCATGTTACCGGTATTGAGGTCGAGCCGTTTATAAACGGAGGATACAACGGTGTTGTCAATGTTACCTCAGTTACTGGCCGCGTCATATTGTCTGCGGGAACATTTGGGTCCGCCAAGATCCTATTACGAAGTAAGTTGCCTACTTCAATCTCAGAAGCCCTCCTATGCTCTACATTACTGACTAGCCCAGGTGGAATCGGACCGTCGGATCAGCTATCTGTTGTCCAGTCGTCAACTGATGGTCCGACCATGATTTCCAATAGCTCTTGGATTAATCTGCCTGTCGGTTATAATCTGGAAGACCACACAAATGTTCGATACCCTCTAACCAGTTGTACCTCTAAATAAATATGCTTACATCTACTTAGACTGATACTGTTATTACGCATCCCAACGTCGTGTTCTACGACTTCTACGAAGCATGGGATAACCCCAATGTCACTGACAAGAACTTATATCTAGGTTAGCTATGTTTAGTCCTTGTGTCGTATGATAAGGCCGCGGCTGACCTGTAACCACAGATTCCAGATCGGGTATTCTAGCTCAAGCAGCGCCAAATATCGGTCCAATGTAAGTTACCAAATCTTAAGTCCACCGGGATTCTAATCCCATGTAGGTTCTGGGATGAAATCAAAGGTGATGACGGTGTGGTTCGACAACTCCAGTGGACCGCCAGGGTCGAAGGGAGTGCCGGGACACCGAATGGATGTAGGTTGTCCCCATATCTTGAGGTTCGCACTCGTTGATAGAAGTAGATGCTATGACTATGAGCCAGTACCTTGGGCGAGGTGCAAAGTCAAGGGGCCGAATGACCATTACGAAGGCATTAACTACTGTAGTCTCGACGCTCCCTTACTTACAGGATAAAAACGATGTCCAGGCTGTTATTCAAGGCATCAAGAACCTTCAAGCGGCCCTAGCAAATGTTGAGGGTCTCACGTGGACCTACCCACCCTCAAACACCACCGTCGAAGACTTTGTCAATGATGTTAGTCGCGCTATATCATGCGATAAGAAAACAAAGCTGATGATTGTAGATGCTCGTTTCATACACCAACCGACGATCAAACCACTGGATTGGTAGGCTAGCTAGCATCGTATCGCTACTCGATACAACGACTAACAATTACCAGGAACCAGCAAGCTCGGAACAGACGACGGTCGGACAAACAGCGGATCGGCCGTAGTTGACCTCAATACCAAGGTTTATGGTACCGACAACTTATTCGTCGTCGACGCTAGCATCTTTCCAGGTCATATCACCACCAATCCCACCTCTTACATCGTTATTGCTGCCGAACACGCCTCGGAAAAGATCCTGGCCCTGGCATCACCCAAGGCACAACCGGAGTTTGCTCAATGCGGCGGACTACAGTGGACGGGCAGCTTCCAGTGCGCGGCGCCGTACACTTGCAAGTACTAGAATGAATACTACTCTCAGGTAAGTGTGTTCTCTTCAACGTCCGTCATGTCCAGTACTGATGACCCGGAAATAGTGTGTTTGAGTTACCCATGTATACCTACCTACCTGGGTCCTAGGTTAGGTACCCAACTATAGTGAATTCAACAAGTATCTATTTGGCAGCTTGCTCTATTAGGTTACAACCAGTACCATAATTATCTTTTGTGAATGCGTAGACGCTGCTTAGCAGGCCGAAGTTGACATATTTATGGCAAGCTAGGTTGGGAATGTTATGTACAAATAGGTAATTGGCATGTGCTCTTTGGGTCTTTTTAATATCCGTGCACGATATGTCGATCACACACCTCTCTGTGCCTTGTTGTACCAATAAGCATCAAGGCACAAAGTAGATTCGTATTACATACCTCTGGTACCGAAGTACCTATGTTGATATGAAGACTTAAATTTCAAGAACCGTATAACAGGTATCAATAATGGGTAGTGATGTCAACCTCTACTACCTATCTACATACTATGTAGGAGTCCTGATGATCCAAAGAGAACGGATATACGTATGCCCGGACTCCGCCAAACGGGAACTAGGTATCCCTTACCCCTTAACGGATATCCATGGATTTTATTGGTTTTAAAGCTTCCAAAGCTAACCTCTCACCGCAAAGCTGACTATCAGCCCAATCAACATTTGCAGGTCTAAAATGATAGTTGCAAATGAGATCCAGGTTTAATGGCCAGCTAAACTGCCACGTCAATAGAGGACCAAGCATAATAATATACGCACGCTTCATAAATGCCTTATTAAAAGCACTCCCGCCCCCCACTCTGCGGCCCTTGCTACAACTTACCCTTTTTGGTCACTACCATTAGAACATCAACACTATCATTTATCATTGTATCATTATGCCATCCGACCTCACATCATGGATCCCCGGAAACAAGACGAAGAAAAGAGTCATCCGCGAGGCTCTTACGAGGACTATCGGGACGGCTGCAGGAGTAGCAGCCAAGGCTAATCCAGTTGTAAAGACCATACAAGCAGGGTACAGCATTATGCAATTAGGAAATACGATCAAGAAGGCAAATGAAACGGCCGGTCATATAAATGAATTAGTCCCCAAGGCCACAGAATTGGTCGGGGCTGCACATCAGTTCGTCCCTTCGATTCAGGTGATGGGCCGGTCAGTTTGCGACAGTCTAAAGCTCTTTGGCTTATTCAGTACTATCGCAACTACTGTTGGTATCGGGTCTAATATGATCTTGACCTACCAGGGGGTCCAGGCGCTCAACCTCATCGCCACGAGGCTGAAGGACATCTCAGATACCCTTGCAGCGCAAACTGCCCTCATGGCTCAAAGAGAGTTTCCCGAATTGGTTTATTATATGATCCGTGAGCGATTGGCCCAGACCTCTCAAGACCCCGAGGTCGAACACTGGTTCTATGTCTTCCACCCAGACAACGATTGGTACCCCAAGTTCTTCCATCTTATCGAGACCAATCCGCTTGATCCCCGGTTTTGCGGCTACACGAACCAGATCGACACGGTCTTCGTCTTTATGCTCGCAACACGGAGGTATATAGAAAAGAAGAATGCGCGTTCTCAAAAACACGGGAAACCGCCCCGGCCAGTGCGCCTACATCTCCTCATCCCAGCCTACCAGCCCATACTTATTGCCGAGGCGCTCCAAATCCCAGACGACATCGGGGACTTCGTCATAGAAGGGCGCATTCATAATACCAGGGAGCTCGTCTGGTTTAACTTACCCGACGACCAAAAGCATTACACTATGGATATCGGACAATGGCTACCGCCCGAGCGAGGCTGGTGGTCCTGGGCCATGACGAAATTCGGACTGAAGGAAACGCCGCCTGAGCTAAAACAGCGCAGAATGTTAGGGACGAGACAGCGAGGACCAGAAGATAAGGATGAGAATGTTAATAATATTAAGGAAAATGGAGAAGATCATGATATCGAGTCGGACACCGCATTATCTAAACGTCAGGGAAACGATGAGAAAGGCCGGGAACAGGGAAAACCACTACACCACCGCCAACGGCCGCAAGAGAAGCGGCGCCGGTAGGTTGGCGTGAATATAAACATTATAAATAATTTAAATCTGTTTTAGCATATATATAAGAACATTTAGAAGAGATATCCTTGATCAACATTATAATTAAATTAAATCTTAGAAGTACTTGTCCTTTAATGTGTCTGGATTAATTCAATTTTATATTAGTAGCCTTCCTACCTATGAATGCATGCTGGATGATAAGTAACATTCCATAGGAAATACACTGAACTTTCTGGAATACGTATATTGTAGGTAATTAGCCTCACAATATTGAAAGCTAGTGGAAATTAAACTGCAAGAGCTCCTTCTCCTACATCTGGCTCTAGCTCGCCCGTGTGTCGATATCTTTCTACCGAATCGGTACGTCTTCGGCCATGGCGTCTCGAGTTATGGTTCCTAGAATGGTGGTTTCTGGAGCGGTGGTGCCTAGAGTGATGGTGATGTCCCGAGTGGTGACGACCTGACCGATGGTGTCCCGAACGATGATGATCCGAACGATATCCGGAGTGATAGTATCTCGAGTAGCCACTACTGGGCTGGCTAAAACAATTACCCATCTTACCTTCGTCGTTACAATAGAAATCCGACGGAAGATCTGGGGTACGACGCTTGATTTCGTTAGATATGACCACAGCTGTATTTTAGTCCCCTAATAGAATAGCAAAAAAGAAAAACAGATAGGTACATTAAGATGAAACTTCCGATGGAAGCACCCATAGGGCTTAGAATTATATACCTAGGTTAGGTAGGCTGTCTACGAACTTGACAATTATGTACCTACCTACCTACGTAACGTGTTTTCGCGTAGATGACTCGAACGCCTGACAAAGAATGACTGGTGGAACACGTACGTCAAGGTGACTAGAGCGAAAAAGGGTGTAACTGAAGAAATGATGCATAATGGAATTATGATCTAGTAAGCTTTGATAGCATATCATAGGAGGAGACCAACAGGTTAGTTAAAGGCTTAAGAATCAGATTAGTTGCGCAAAACACGGGAATAGTACCACGTATATTGAAGAAAATACATTCTACATTCATTAAAATGACCTCAACAATCCGCCATTCTAACAGGTAGATACCTACGCAGTATTAGAGTCTTTATTTCTCACAAGATAAGGTGCCAAATAGACACTCAAATTACGCCTATGCTAAGTTTCCGCGGCGAAGATATTCCTTTATCTGGCAGATTCCATCAGTCCCCGGAACTAATAGAGGGCCGTTGGTCAGGGGTCCTTTTCGCCTCCCGGGCACTTGCGGATCGGTACAATTCCATCAGACGTTGACGTCGCCGGCTTTGATGCCTTGAGTGGTGATAACGTTTCGGGCGCCGACTCCTCGAATGTCTAGGCTTAGGCTGGCTAAAGCACTGGCCCATTTTGACTCTGTCTTTGAAAAGGGGAATGTGGTGGGTGGCGCTGAGATTGACCGGTGGTGATAGCCGGCTGCGTGAGTATAGCGTTTGTAGTATTATCTAATTTGATCTCCTTGTTACCTGGTTGGCATCTCGTCTACTAGAGGACTCCTACATATCCTATTATATTATAAGGGTGTCTTATAAACTTATCTTTCTCCTTCCCCGTCTATATTTCAAGTTTAGAAACGTCATAAAATATGTATCTACAACGTACCGCGGCTTTTGGCCTGTGTCCCAAGAGGTAGAAAGTGACAACTAGATGTCCCATCCAGTTTTCCCCTGACCCGGTAGAAACACTACTTGGAACCACGTATGTAAGTAGGCCGCAAACCTTTATTCAATGACTTAGATTTAACCAACACTTTGTAAATTAGTGCTGATATATTTAATGCCCCCCAGGTTATATCCTTGGGCCATCCTCCCTTCCACCTTAGTAGACGAACCAAGTTCAAGCCACGATACTTCAGGTCGTTAATAGTCACCAACAAATACATAGGGGCATGACGAAGAACAGGGGCAATCGAACACACGCAGTTATCCTACGACGTACGGATTCCGAGGTCTTCGGTGACAAGTTAATGACATCAGGCATTCATTCAGTAGTTCGTAACGTGATCATTATGTATTTATACAAGATGATCCTCCTAGACCCCAGACCCGTGCCAATATATGAATAGGTGCTGTAATCCCAATGGAAGCAAAAAACATGAAACTGGTATCAAGTTGGCGTTGAATCGTTGCACCCAAAACAGAAACAGAATATATCCTTAAACGCCCTTTTATTGGACTTGAGCCACGCCGTCGGTTTCGTAGCCTTACCCAGTTGTAATTGAAAAGAAGAGGAAAATCGTTGAACTGCCGCGCTTCACCCCGTCATTTAGGCGTCTTCCCAAGTATCCACACCCTCCATGTCGTCATGTATCTCGATATCCACTTTCGTCCCGAGTGCTTCTTTTCCTTGGCGTATCATATCCCTTAACCGAGCGTTGAAGTCATTCATCCGCATGTCAGCTTCTATTTCCTCCTGGAGTCTCTTAGCAGCCAGGGTCTTCGCCTCGGCATCCAGTCGAGGGCTGTAATCCCTAAGTTCCTGCGTAGAATCCCCTCTTCTTATCCTGATAGAGGACGTACCAGATGCTGCTGATGCCGTACTATGATTCCTCCCGTGACTACGCCTCGGGTGAATACTAGGACTAGGAATAAGAGAAGCTGGTTGTGGAATACGAGAGGCCGAGAAAACGCTGGGTGATTGCGGTTGGCTTGGGACGGGGATTCTACTGGGAGTATGCAATGATACGGCTGGTGAGTGAGCTCGAGGAGAGGCAAAACTTGCCGGCTCAGTATTGGATACAGGCGTGGTTCCGACATGGCTTATCCTATTAGAATGGCGTCGAGTGGCGCTGGTTGTGTTTACGCGGCTCACGGGTCGACTAATACGTCGACGGAGAACGGGCGGAAATGTTTGTTGTTGAGATGTACGGACTGTTGAGGTTTGAGAAGCTCTGCTCTGCGGTCGTGTCTTTTCGGGTGATTCCCGGACCATGACCCAATTCCGGCGCAGTTCATCTCCAGGAGCTCCGGTATCAATCTGCCGCCGTTTTGCTGCAGGAGGGGGCGGGGATTCCGGCGATCCTTCTCTGTAATTAGATGGGAAATAGTGAGACTGGGGAATCTCGATTGGTCCTGTGCTAGAGCCGAAATCTGGAAGAGTAGGAATATCGTGCTCATTACACCAAACCTGGCCGTTTGTAGCTGATGGTTGCCTAGGTGGTGTCTTCATCCCGTATCCCCTACCTCCACCGGCATAGAAACCACGGAACACGCCCGTTCTACAGAATTGGAATACTTTTCCAACGACTCCGCCTATAGTACTCAAAGCAATAGAACCCCATCCGCTCGTTTGCCGTGTTCGAGGGGGTGATGATGATAATATAGTAGACGTAGCATTAATAGCGGACGGTTCGATCTTCGCGGGCGCACATTTAGGACCTAAATTGCGCCTGTAATTGACGTCGGAATAAATGCTATCTTCCATCGCGTCCATGAAGGCTCCAGGAGCCACTCCGTTAGGAGCTTCAGTTTGACCGGCTAGAACATACTTCCTCCCCTCCCCCTCAACCAGCCCGTTGACTTCGGCCTCCTCCTGGTATTTATTATCGGTGTTAGATGCTGCATCACCTCTATTCGTACCCCAGCTATTAAATAGGCTGGACTCGCGAGGTCCCCTCCGTTTCCTCTTCGCATTAAGGCCTAATGTTGATGCATCCGAGTGTAAGCTGTTGGTAGATTTATCTAGATATAGAGAGCTCGAAGCGGAGGGTGATATAGAAGGTCGAAACATTCCCGGATGAACGCCAGACAAGGAGCTACCGTCGTTAAGAGGTTCAAAGTGGAATGCGCCCGGCAAAAGGACCCGCGGCCCGAAGGACATGGTAAGATGCCCGCAAAGGAGTCGAAACGAATGCGACCGGAGCGAAAGCGAGTGTTGAAACTATTAAATTAGAGCCGATATTTGATTGAATGGAATAGCGAGTGTAGCAGGCGAGAATATATCAATAGAGAAAGATAGGCGTAACTTTGTATCCTCGGAGCTCTTTGAAAAATGAGACAGCAAGACAATCCGTTTGTTATGTCACCATTTCAAGATTTCCCAACAATGGGTTGCCTCGCCTTCTTCAAAGATATTCAAAAACACCTATCAATCAGAGCTATCGGTGCCTTTGTCGATACTGGACGAGTCTTACTGCCAAAATCCCCTTGATGCAGCTTGTACGTCTGTTGTTTTCAAAGGTTATCTCAGAGTACGCGAAGCAGGAGGAAAAAAAGGTAGGTAGGATATGATGTAAGAAAGGTGGGATGGGTTTTAGTACTCGTGATCACAAGCCTCTTTTTTTTTTTTTTTTTTTTTTCGTTAGAGTTCGCGTGGTGTCAAGTCGCTGGCACGCGTAAGAAACTTGGGGATTTGGGGACTTTGGGACCTAGCGACCAATAGGGTCAGCTCTTAACTATACAGCTCATTAGCTCATTAGCTCATTGACCCCTGTCAAACTTTCAAGGTTCCATATCCGTGTCTGCCTACATAGGTGGCTGGAAAAAGGCTTAACCACCTAAAGTTTAATACGTAAGCACAATTTGAAGATTTTGCTAGGACTTACATCTTGTAAAAATTAAAAACAATAACTTTCTCAAGTGCTTATGCGCTGTATTAATTCTAATTCTAAAAAGTTGGAGTTGTTGATTATTAAGTTTAATCATCACACCCGTTACTAGGTCAAAACAGCATAAAAAGTCAATAGAACAGCAGTCGCCAAGTGGCCAAAGAGCCAACCCCGGGTGCCAGTCCCGGGTACCGGATTCGATAGCGGGTCCTCAGTTAAATGTACATTATTTTAACACCTTCCCCTCCGCGCCTCTTCACCGGTGAAATAGAAGAAGCGGTCGGCAGCGTTGCAATATTCTTATCATTATTGGTCATAACCATATGCTCCATTTTCTAATGAGGGTTGTATGCCGTCCCGAACCCCTAGTGTTTTCCCATTCTACCTACCATGATAATGTGATAATGCTCCATACCTGACATGAAGCAAAAAGCGTAAACGACGAGCAAGAATCTTTTAATGTCGGCGCAAGACTGCAATACCGCAATATGTTTTGCTTACCGCCAATAGCAGCCCATCTCCTTTTTAGCTCTCCTCTTTAGAGTAATAGGCGTCTTGATCCTGTGTCGTCGTCTTTTTCACACCGCCATTCACACCGGCTTCTCCATGAACATGCGGTGCCGAACCCCAAAACTCGTCGCGTTCCTTAAGGATGTCCTTTGCCCACTCCTGCGTTTCCGGAAGTACAACCCTGGTCGCAACGTAAGCGAACTCGCCCAGGTCCAGGCGCTTATCCGCCCGCTTCTCGTACTCCACCATCTGCAACAATAATTCCATCTTGTCTACGTCATGGACAAAGAGGCTTTCGGGTGTTTTGGAGTCCTCATACTCCTGCCAGATCGCTCGGATCTCCTGTCCGGCAACCCCTCCATACACCTTGCCCAGTAAGTTCTTGGAAATATAGTCCATTGTCTCGGCCTCGCGACGGCTTTTTTCCGGTTTCGGGACACCATCTACCGGCGTAATGTCCCCGACGATTGATTCGGCCATATCGTGGATGAGGCACATCTTCATGCATTTGTTAAGATCGAGCTTGGATGCAAGCGAAGGGGGGCATATGAAGGTCATTAAGGACATGCGATACATATGATCCGCGATCGATTCGCCTCTGGCCTTATTGTAAGCGACTAGCCTCTTATCAAGTTCCGAGGGAGGGATACTCTACCTCTTGATTCCGAACCGCCGCCATCCTTCTCGCTTGCCCGTCTTTAACCGCTCGAGGATATGGAAGAAAGGAACTGGTGAGCTCGAATCCTCGGCAGGGGCTTCGGGGTGAATCTGTGCTAGCACCTTCTCGACCGCCCATGGTTCAGAGACCTTGGGAGTTATTACAACACCGGGCTCTGCAAATATAGCCTGGTTAGTTGAACCTACTTCGTCTGATGCTCTAGAAAATGCTTCACTTACCAATGCCTTCCTGGTTATTGGAGGACATCCCGCCTTTAAGTACGGGCAGGATAGCTCGTCCTTGAAGGAGATGTTCGTGGCCGCGGCTGGTATTTGTACGGAGTGGTAAGCTCTAGGGATGTAGTTGGGAATCGAAATGGGTAACACCAATCAGTTAGAACCTGCTCCTGAATGAGGTGAAGAAATGATCCCGAAATATGACTTAGGTATATGAAAAGGGTACAAACAAGAAGAGGTGAAGAAACATTTCAAAGAAAGCGCTAGAGGGGGGACCCCACGACACACAACATATCTGCCCCACGTGGCCGATAGACTGATAGAGACCCAAACGTTCTAAGTTCCGAGCTTAGATACTACCTACAACTCCGTTTAGGTACTGCTCGGGGTTGTAATTGTCAGCGAACATTATCAGATTTGTAGCTGACCGTCGCTGCCTCTTAACCCTGTATGATGTCAGTCTTTCGTTTTCGAGTTACACAGCAGTACGCCACGTCAGTTACATGTACTACGTATCGTCTTTGATATGTACCTACCTAAGGTAGGTACCTACATGTACTCCCTTTCTTATTCTAGACCCTTAATCTAGATCCCTGTTCCAGAATTCAGCACCCTGGTCTTGCAGCTTTGGTTTATAAAGTAGGTACCTAGGTACCTACGAATTATATCCTCCCCCCTTTTTCTCGGATACATACTTCTAAACATGGACGGGCATTCCTGATCAGCAATGATTGTCCCTGAGAGTAAACGGAATCTCTCGTTAGCCAACACCTCCATATGCTTGTACTTGTTTTCTACACTTCGTGGGCGGCCGAGCCATCATTTTCTTCTGGTAGCCAAGTGATTTTGTCCTCCCATAGTAGTTCGTCTCGTGGTCCGATGTCAATATTCCACAATGACTTATCATAACCATATAAGATCAAATCTCAATAAGGAATTCCACGGGTCAACGTCGAGCACGTTCGAGCAAGTTTCGCCCCTCCGTTCACATGAGCATCAACTAAAAGCTATTATTAACTACCACCTCTAACGTAACATCAAGTTCAACTAGTCTTATTCGCTCATCTGTCTAATGTATGGAGCGACAAGTGAAGAGCAAAATAAGCTTGTATTGCTTCCGTGTACATAAATTCGATTACTTTTGCTCAGCCTCGGGGGCCGAACTCGATCACATATACTATGTTAAGTCGACCGGATATTACGTGATATATTGGGTAGGTTGTTCGGTCGTAAATACATGCTAGGTCCTCTATCTGTGCGGAATTTGGCCGCAATAAAGCTAGAGATATTATCCCACTGTGAGTATTTAACTTTTATCTATATAGCAGGTAGAGGTCAATATTAAGGAGCTAAATTTTGGGAACAATTAGAGACTTCGCTCGACTCCATCAGGTTTGCCTAGCCTGCATAGCTCGCTAGCTCGCAGTGCCTTATACCACAAACGCAACCTCGGTAGTACCATCGCTATGGGTCAAATAATAATAGCTTCATCGAGGCCCCCGAAGAATAGACAATCTTATGGGAATGCAGTTCATTCAAGGGTCATCACGAATAACCCAACACATAGCGGACAAGTTGACGACTTGGTGAACCACCCAACACTATAATTTACAGCGTCCGTCAATCGTCGTAATCTATAGTAATCAAGCACAAAGATGAAAGGACCCTATTCTATTAAGTCTTGGTTCTTGAATAGATAAATATGTTAACTAAAACTACCCAAGTTTATGCGGACTATTTATTTTACCATATCGTATTTTCAACACCTGCCAAAATCCACTTAACCCATTTCTAATTAGTAATCGTAGAGGGAATATTTATAATGGCCCAAATTAGTTGTTTGTACTACAAGCGAGCATGTTTGTCACATCCTGCTTGGCCTATAAGATGTATCGTACAGGGAACCCCCCTTACCATTGCGTTACTTAAGTATTACTTAAGTAAGTTTGTCAATATTTACAACTGCATCGTCTTGCCTTTTAATCTCTAGTGCGTAGACTAAAAAGCACCTATACACAGTTGTAGGAGTTTTTCGATATTACGGCCCGATACTAAGCAGGGCGGAAATATTGAATAGGATCATATTTCACGAGGAACCTTCTATATTCACTCGGTTCGGCTTGAAGTCGCGGTGATGAACACATGTGTGACTCTGAGATGGAGATACAAGTATTTGGACTTGGACTACTATTAAATATAATCGTACGGATATGCTAGTCACATCTATCATTAGAATCACAATACTCGGACTAAGCGGCCTAAACCGTAGGTATTCTTCTTTTGAAGGAGAACTGGAAATCAGGATTTTTATCCCTATAGCTTGATTCCTTCATGATAGGCTAGCCCCTCTTCTTCGATTTACTTGTCCTGACCTAATTACTCCTATAATCTGAGCCGTCGATATGAAGGCCAGTTTGATAATCCCTATGGTGGCTTCGTTAGGGGCAGCTTCGAGCCTGAGGGGACATGGTTTCATTGGATACGGTATATCTATCTACGATCCGATCTGTGCCTACGCTTGCCACAATGTTATAAGTCCATATCAGCTTAGCTGCTCTACCACCATGGACCATAACAGCATGAAAAGGCACCACGATCGAGGATTTACGACTTCGGACGATTGCTACGCAACAGATGATAGTTTCCTCCGCAGCGTTGCCTACTGTCTCAGTACTCACTGCTCTGGTACTCCTCTCTCTGATATCGAACATTACTGGGCCAACTTCCTCATAGGCCGTAAGCCTGGCCAAACTAGCCCAAAGGAATCGTACTCGACTACTATCGCTCATATTGATCCGCCACCGGCCGTCGTGGTCAACCCTAAGTCGGTGTTAAACCAAACTACATTAGTTACTGAGGAAGAGTATTTGAGCGAATATGATCGTGTCTTCTCTTTCCAGCAGGTGGAAATTAGACAGACCGAGTTTGGGTTTGTTTGTTACCAATATCATCTTGAAATGCTTAGTGCTAACTCGTACTAAAGACTAATTCTTCTGATCACCGGCGCAGCTATACCCATAGCATGCTCCCTACTCCGCTTCGTCCCATTCCCCAAGAAATTAGCAAGCCTATTTAACGCGTACTTCATTGATCCGCCAATAGTCGGCCGCAGACATCGGCAGCCATTTCATAATCTTGCCCTTGTGCCTACCCGTGGCCAAGCCTCACTGATAGTGTACTTCATACTCATTAATGTGGTATTATTATGCATCGACTATCCACCGATTTCGAACGACGATGGAAATGACGAACTATTGCGATGTGTTGCCAATCGCATGGGCGTATTGGCCTTTGCCAACTTTGCGCTCCTTGTGCTGTATGCGGGCCGGAATAATATACTCTTGTCTATTACTGACTGGTCTTACTCAACATTCCTCCTTCTTCACCGCTGGGTCGCGATAATCTGCACTCTCGAAGCATGCATACATGCCTCTATATATTTAAAGGCATACATCGCCTTTGGCGAGTTTACAGATGAGAGCAAGAAGACTTATTGGATATGGGGAACCGTGGCGGTTTCACTAATGTCCGTTTTACTTCCCACAAGCTCGCTTCCCTTACGGCAGAAGTTCTACAACCTCTTTCTCACTTCCCATTTCGCGTTTGCTTTCGTCGCTCTGATCGGCTGTTACTTCCACGTCTATCACCGATACATGAATCAGTGGGGGTATGAGACGTGGGTGTATATCGCCTTCGCTTTCTGGGCTTTTGATAGATTTATGCGCTTTGTTCGACTCGCGCGAAATGGAGTAAGAAAAGCTAAAATCAGCATTATAGACGAAGACCACATCCGCGTCGATATTCCAAATATTACCGGACAGGGCCATGCATACCTGTATTTCCCTACTCTCACTTGGCTCGTATGGGAGAACCATCCGTTCTCCATCCTAGGAACTATGATGGTTGACAAGATACAAAAAGCACCTAGCGTGGCGACGCCTAGTGAAGACACTAGTATGCCTTTAAGTGATATAGAGAAGGCGCCCGCTCACACGTCCACCGCTGCCGCGGTCGATTCAAGCGGTTCAACCTCTCCACAAGCCATGAGTCAATCGTTCAAGCCAGGCTTAATGTTCTTTATTAGTACTGCCGGAAAAGGTCTGACTGCCGCTCTTCGTAAAGAAAAGACATTGCCCGTTCTGGTCGAGGCCTCTTACGCCGCTACGTCGCTTGACGAACTCCGCATGGTACCAAATTGCATCCTCATTGCCGGAGGTGTAGGAATCACGGCCGTGGTCCCAGTGCTCCGTTTCCGTACCGGCCGTGTGCGTCTTTTTTGGGGTGTGAGAAATAAGTCGCTAGCTGAGGCGGTAGAAACTTCCTTAGGCCCAGGTATCCTAGTACCAAATATAATAGGGGAGATTGCGGTCGGAAGGCGATTAGATCTACGAGCAATTCTGGAGCGCGAGGTAGTCGGGGATAGCGAGACAGCAGTCGTCGTCTGTGGGCCAAACAGCATGGCGGATGAAGTACGATCTATTGTCTCTGAGCTTGGGAGAAAAGGCAGAGTGGTGAAATTAATTGATGAGGCGTTTAGTTGGTGAATGAAAACAAGGTACCTGAGTGTTGATGGTATGCATTCCATAATTACGAGTACCTAATACATGAGGTACCTAGGTAAGGTATTGTACCTAACGTAATGTACTTAATTTAGCAAGCTCCACGTTTCACACTAACGTTTTATACCTCCTACATCGTACAAGTTGACATAACCAATTTTGTCCCTTTTCCTAACCAGGACATTCTACATCTAAATGCCACGGTTTGGATAATTTTCGGCATTGGTAAAGCTAAACGCAGTGCTCGCATTATTTTGTCCATCGTTATCCTTCCAAATGCGTGGGATCGCTTGGATTTAATAGGCCGTGCTAGGTTAGTTACTAATTACCTAGGTACCCAGGTACCTACCTAGTTAGACTCGCTACCGTCAATCTCACTCCAGATCTCAATTTGATCGATGTCAAACTCCAGTACCCAATCACCACGACTCGGGTTTGCCTTGTAAGTCACTTCTCCTGCTCGGCTGTCCGCACCCGAATTTATACCCACGTCGATGTCTCTACCCTGGTGTCTGACTTCCCCGCGTCTTAAACCATCCCGAAGGATAAGCACTACTCCCCCCCTTCCCCCTTCAATATCGTCAATACTAGTAGCACGTCCAAATATGACACCCTCACTACCGTCAGCACCGACGGCGGTACTCCATCCCACTGCCCCGGCAACCCCCTGGTATAACTCCTGCCTGGGCGCAAGCTGAAATAACGTACACTGTTGTTGCCCCTCGGCGTTAGGCCTGAAGTCTGCACGAGCTAGGATATGGGAGCGGTCCTCTTTGGGCTTCGGACTGAAAAGCCCAAAGACGCAGAGTTCCCCTTTTGTCGGCCCGGTACCTGTGGTCTGGCCGGCAAATAGCACTATGGCCTCGTCGGGTACGTCTTGGATGGCTTGTGCAAGGAAGGTTGGTGTAGGTAAGTTTGATGGGACATAATATTTCATACGCCGCAAGTCTGGACCGTACGCGGAATGAGCGAGGAACGTATTGAGCTGACTTGCTCGCGATCGAGTGAGCACCGCATCAACTGGGATGCGAGGAATAGGTTCGGATGAATCAATAATATCAAAAGTGCCAGGCTTATCCAGAAGAGCGAGTGTGAGCAGCCGGTAGAAAGGGTAGAGTAGGTACGGCGAAGATGTTTCTAGGGCTTGGTAATATGAGGGCCAGGTTATAACCCCAGATGCGTCCGAGTTTAAACCCTGGGGTTCGTCCTGGTCCTGTATGAAAGCGTTACAGATGCACCGTGCTGCGTCGTCAAACTGCGATGGCTCGACAGCATCCTGTTCAGAAGTGACAGGCTCGAACTGTAGCGCCAACATGACCTTCACAAATGCCTCGAATCGCGGTACCGGAATCGAAAGAGTATGCAACTCTGGTAGTTTCTCGTCCACTTTGATCTGCTTTGCGATAGGCCGGAACTTGTCCCGCGGCACGTTTGCTAGTCCTGGAGGTACCTCCTCCTGTGTCGAGTATATTACTTCTAGTAGGTCATGATAAATCTCGTCGCCGTCAGCGTCGTTGTTCAGCCCGCAAAGATCATGATATAACTCGTCAACGTCGAAAAGGTTGCGGTGAGCGAGCTCGTTCACACGCCGCCGCACCTCATCTTGCATCGTGGTGGGAACAGTACTGTTGGCTAAGCTCTGAAATACCAGGCGTTCGTGGTCCGATCGTGTCCGCATCCGCGAGTGGTTACTCTCATCAAAGATATACTTAGTCCTGTCCGATAGCGCCCAGGCTAAGGCTCGAGTGATCTGCGCTAAGGTGAGACCCCCTGATTGAAGACGGTGCGGCCGCGTAGGAAATGGTAGAGTGCTAAGATAAACAAGCATCTCATAGATAATTTTCCCAGCCTCGACACCCTCTATGTTTCGGGGAAGACCAGCCTTAGATTGTAGAAGAGAGATGAAGGCCGATTCGGTCAAGATGTCACCATCGCCTGAGGGAGAGCGGCTAGAAGCCGATGCGAAACTAGCTTGAAGGGTCTGCTTGTCTTCTGATCTAATTGCGTCCCTTTGGGCGATATTGTCGAGGCGTGACATAATACGCTCCCTTGTCAGCTCACCTTGCGCAATCCACCCATCGATTTTTGCTAGGTCGTAGTCTCTCTCCATTGCGTGTATAGAATGGAACAAACAAGAGAATAATCTTCCAAAGGGGGGGATGGTAAAAATAAAATTGAAAAGGGGGAGAGTTGGAAGAGCTGATTATTTGCTTTTATAACTCCGCAGCTTCGATATCATGTCTACGCGACCATTTCAGCTCAATGAATAGATGTCTTTATTTAGGTACGACGAGATGGTCCGCCATATTAGAAATACTATACTCGATAATACAGGAGAGGATAGAGACTTAATGTAAGCCACTGTGTATAAGTGGGAGAAAGTAGTTTATTCGAGGCGATGTGACCCGTGGTGTTTGGGTGTCACTTAGCAAGTTACTCAGGAACCATGATCAGGAACATAGTGTAGTTCTAGACAGCTCTGTAATGTAGGGCTTCCGGGGTTATTTTTAGTACTCTTGGCACCCTCTTCCCGGACCAAGGATCCCAGATCCAGTGATCGGCAGTAAGTTTAGCCCCAAATTCTTGGTTGGAAGTTCCCATTCATCCTACTCAGTGTTACATCCTTGAGTCGTTCTGAAGTTTATATACCCGCTTGTGTATTTGGGCCATGGTTTTATGATAACGTAACCTAGGATATATAAATCAAAATGATTAACCTATAGAATTGAGAATAACTTCACAGTCAAATCGACTATCTTGAGAGGGCTGAACGACATTGTATTTACTATTTACTTAGAAACCCACCATTAAAACGGCTTAATAGAGGACCTACTCAGATTGCCCAAAAAGGCAGGTAGATCAAGATGTTGTTTTGTACGCTACACGCCTTCGAGAGGCGCGGGTAATCAGGCATGAGAACCAACAGCAATAAAGGTCATCTATCTATGTTTAGAATGAAAGCTTAAAATAATTTCACGCTTAACCAGGTTGAAAACAATGTGGGCAGTTTCAAAAAATGTTGGTATCAGCAGATAATTATTCTGCTACCAACCCGACAAAATTATATGAACGTTTTGGATTTTCATCGCGGGGTCTATTATGTAGGATTAGAGCGGCTGATCAAGCTAAACCCGCCACAATGTTTCATTTCGCTACAAAATTACCTATGCGCTTCGTGCCGCAGATGCCTTTTCCCCTAACCCACCTACCTATATGAAAGATCCCTCTCAGTGGACACCCGTTGACGATGATCAGCCCTAAACACTACCTCTCTTTAGGTTGCCATCTGCCTACATTAGGTAGTTGAAAAAGTCGTGTGGCTCCTTTTCGTTCATAGCGCATGGAGATAATCCTTCTCAACTGACCGGCCGTACACTCGATCAACCCACGGTTAATCTTCAGCGCACGCTTAAAATAGTACTCGTGATTCTTTACCCGAATAGCATAGCTGGAACCAACAGTCTTTCGTAGTTCAATTGTCAGCATACTAGCATAGTAGTATGCTAATTCCTACCTAGGATACTCCATATCATGTCTAAGTTAAGTAGGCGCAAGTGTATCAGTTATAGACCAAGCTGCCGATAATTCCGAGGGCCTAAGCCAGCGAGAGGAATGGAGGGATTAATATTTCAAGAATATAACAGCTACCTACGTAGAGAGAAAAGGAAAGTATATATTCGCTGTAATTTCCCTTCATTGTATAACTCGAATTAATATAGTATCATTACTATCGTCGACTTCTATATAGACGAGCATTCATTTCCTCAACCACTCTTTACAGTTTTCTGCTACGCTCATTTCAATCCACGATGAAGTTCACTTACTTGCTTTCTGCCTTCTTGGCTACGTTAGCCGCTGCCAGCCCCATTGCCACCATATCCGACCCGGCTGAGAACACAGAGCTCGTCACTCGCACTGATAATGCAGTAGAGAGCGCAGAGCTGGTTGCTCGTTCTCCGACTGTGATAGAGTCGAAGGAATACGAGGCCATCAAAGCTAAACACTCGAATCTAAAGAAAGACCACTACTATTACTTTTACTTAACATGGCCGCGTGGATCATTGATCGACGGGGACCATGAGACGAAGGCTGAGGTAGAAGAGCTGAGAGACGCTCTGGGCTTCGACCATATCGGAATTATAGTGGGCAAAGTAACCGAGAAAGAAGGCGGCACGAAAAAGAAGCCTACCCTCAAGAAGAATTTCGAAGCCAGATTATACCACATGGCCAAGGACCCTTCTGGCAAATCTGTACTCAAAATGAATACCTGGGATAAGAAGGACAGCGACCATAAGCCTATCCGCTTCGGTGGTGAGACAAACAAGAGAAAGCACGATGCAGTCCAAAGAAATGCGCAGGAATGGATCCATGATCACCCGACTTACAACGTCAGAACTAACAACTGCAACTCATTCGTTCACAATATCGCTGCGTCGCTTTAATGAATGAATCGATATGTACCTAGATACTCATAGATTAGAAGTGGATGGCATACATCGGAGGTATTGGCCTGGTGCTGACCTGGAAAAACATACCTACTTCTCATTCTTGCATGTAAATTTTACATTGGGCCTTGGCCGGGATATTGGGACAGGGACAGGAACAGGAACAGGAACAGGGGGTAAATAGAGGACTTGCTAGTACATAACACACTCGCTTCGTATTTGGTTTTCGGACTTCGAAATTTGACATCTTACACTCAATATGGCTTTGCCTCCTGTGAACTGCCCGGCCGTAATAGCCTGGTACCTATTATGCGTCTTGGTGATATCTTTAGAGTTATGATATAATAAATAACAGGCTCTTATAATCTAATAAAGGTAGGTTAAAACTTACCATTTGCCTACAACTTGAAGGTCTTGCATAAGTATAATATAATACGAAGCAAGCTCATTCTAAGGTCATAAGCCTATTGACGATTTCCCTCCCTTTTCACCTTGAACACTATACGAGTTTGTTTACCGTAGGTTTGGACAGGCAGGTAGGTTTCCAGAATAACGTCAAAAAAGATGGCGCACCTACCAGCATAATTGTTAGTAGACTGCGCCAGTTATTTTGACACTATTCTGGTTGCTAACTACGGCAAATAGTGCTAAATAATCTAGTATCCCAATTATGGTCTATTGATAATGATTCGGTTCCGTTTTTGCCCGACCGGAATCAAGGAGAGAATTGACACACCGGCCCACCAAAATAGACGAATGAAGACTCAAGAAAGGGTTCACAAATGCCTATTAAAGAACAGTACTGGTAGCTCAGCCAATGAGATTCAATTAACATAACAGGTACTCCTCAAAAGGTACTGTAAAGTTAAGCGCACCGGCTCCGATAATTCAAGTATATTGCTAACTGCGCTTCATATATAACCATAGAAATAAATGTAGAAAATAAAACAAACACTAAGCTCCGGAATGTTACATATAGTAGACAGAAAATTACCTTCTAAAGCTTACGCTACATATAATTATATAATTTGACGCCGTTAACCCTCCCAAACGTGTAGCCGATACATGTCTTCACCCATGACCGGCCCAACAGAAAGCCAAAGTCATGAAACTAGCGAGAAACATGGAAATCATGATGCTAGAGACAATGCGGCGTTCACCATTGAATCATTGGCTCACCAACCACCTAATGCAACCTCACATCCCCATGAAACCGACGATATTCTTCCAGAACCTTCACATGAGTGTTCAGTTATAACTGAAATTGAGAAGAAAAGCGCTGGAGGAAGCCATGTCGCTCCCGAAGAGGATCCGCCCGAACCTCCATATAGTGTTCTTAGTGAGCCTGTTAAGATCTCGATTATCCTTACTGCTTCTTTCGCCGCCATCATTTCGCCAATATCTAGTAGCATCTATTTTCCAGCCCTAAACTCGCTTGCAAACGACCTTCACGTGTCGGTATCCTTAATCACATTAACGATTACTACGTATATGGCAAGTAAAAAAGCCCTCGAGTCTCTTCTATTTTAGAAAACAGTAACGCTTATACGATTTCCAGATCTTCCAAGGGATAGCTCCTTCCCTCATCGGAAATTTCTCAGATATAAGTGGGCGGCGCCCAGCCTATATCATCTGCTTTTCTATCTATATATGCGCCAACATCGGTCTGGCTTTGCAAAATAGCTATGCTGCTCTGATGGTACTTCGTTGTCTTCAGAGTTCTGGCAGTAGCGCGACTATTGCCTTGGGCAGCGCAGTAGTTGCCGATGTATCGACGCGAGCACAGCGCGGTAAATACATTGGCTACGCATCTATGGGAGTGACGTTAGGCCCAGCTTTAGGTCCTATCATCGGAGGTCTCCTTGATCATTACCTTGGCTGGAGGTCTATATTCTGGTTTCTTACAATATTCGCGAGCGTTTTCTTTGCGATTGTTGTCGTTGCCATGCCAGAGACCTGTCGGGCAGTTGTAGGTAATGGGTCTGTGTCGCCACCTACATGGCAGCTCTCGTTATGGCAATATTTTCGGCACCGAGGCAAAAGAGGAGAAAATCCGGACGCCGATGTACAAACCATACAGAGAGGTCGGAAGCGTCCTAATCCTTTAACTTCAATAAAGATTGCGGCCCAGAAAGAAGCGGGTATGATCTTGTGGTATGGCGCACTACTATATTCTGGCTACTTTGTAGTCTTAAGCACTCTGTCAACACAACTACAACAAAGATATGGGTTCGACTCGTTGACAATTGGACTATGTTACCTACCATTTGGGGCGGGTAGCCTGACTTCTCGCTGGACGGTGGGCCGCATCCTTGATAAAAATTTCCACCGGCTTGCACGTCTTCGCGGCTTAACTATTATCAAAAACCGACAACAAGATATTAGCCAGTTCCCCGTAGAGTTTGCTCGACTACAGATATCTATCCCGATTATATATGCAGCATGTCTCGCCATTGTCGCATATTCCTGGGTTATGTATTATAAGACTAACCTGGCTGGTCCCCTCGTTATGCTCTTTTTCACGGGGCATTTAGTAACGGGCGCCTTCAGCTCGCTTAACACACTAGTAGTAGATATAAATAGGGAGACGCCGGCTACCGCTGTAGCAGCGAATAATTTGTTCCGCTGCCTCTTAGGCGCAGGCGCTACCGCCATCGCGAATCCTCTCATTGACCGCATCGGTATAGGTTGGACGGGCACATTCGTTGCCTTCCTCTGGGTTCTGTTTAGTCCTTTACTCTGGGCCGTGATGAGATTTGGACCCGAATGGAGAGCTGAGGCACATGCCAAGGCAAAGGCGAAAGCGGAAAGGAAGACGGAGAGAATTGCTGTGGCGGATCTTGAAGCTGGTATGAGGAGAGAACTTGGTCTCCCATAAGAGAATGACGAAAACCCATAGTCTTACTAGCCTACTGCTCATACAGATATAGTTGGATGGAGCTCGTTGTTCACTTTGTTATTCTAGTTTGATAGGTCAAAATGTCGTTCCTAAGGAAATAGATTGTCTATTAGTTCATGTATGATAAAGTATGAAATGCTGATAATATAATACCTAGTTGAAGGGGTCGTTCTGGTTACTACCCGCCCTATCGAGGAAACGGGATGATGGGCCGATCAACCTAGATATAATGATGGGCACGAAGCTAAACCCATTCTCCCATAGCTTCCTTTTCCTGTCACTATTTTCCCTGTGACCCAAGCAGAACATTAAACGGGATATTTGTGGAATGAATGAGCCAATGGCCTTATTATTTCTCTGGTGTATGCTTTGGGGCACCTTCGCCGCATTTTATATGTTTGCATACTAAAAATGGACTTGCATCGCACTCGATACAATTGCCTTTCCAGGTGTCCGAGTATTCTGTACCGCAGTGGTAGCAAGGTATGAGCTTCATTGTGAAGTATGGTATTGTATTCAAGAGATACGATACGATATTGACGAATCTAGTTTGGTTGGCGAAGTTACATTGGAGGGAAGGGTGATGCTGTTGGCAAGAGAAACACGATCAAGGGGATAATTTGATATTTATATATTCAGTTGGAATTCCACCTAAGTAATGATGGTCTGTAAAGAGCCCCAGCTATTGTCTAAGCAGCCCAGTCACATTGTTTCGTGCTACATACTCGTCATTTATGACTGGTAAATGATTTGTGATGTAGGTAGGGCTACACAATATGAGTATGTCTAATATGAGTTCGGATAATTATATCGCAAATGTCTATAGACTACTCAAGTAGGTAGGTATCTGCCTCATACTATGGTATGCTAGGTGTTCTAAGTAACTAAAACGGGAGGTGTTGGCTGATATAGAGCCCGGAGCAGCGCACACCATTAATTGGTATAACCGGCTCTCACCAGTGCCCATCTTGTTTACTGCTTGTTAATCGCCTTTCAAAGACAGGTACCTATGCAACCTTTTGGGGTGAATTTCAGTCGTATATCCTGACAATTACGATTACAATTATCAGACATCTTTCAATTAGGATACAAAACTCTTGATCGCCTCAACGCACTCAAAGCCACTGATATTCTCCGACGAGCTGTTCATGTCTAGTTGGGGTAACATCTCGTCATCAGTCATTGCTATATCTCTCGCTTATGACTTGGCCGAATTACTTCGCGGATAGAACTAGTAATTGAACGACTTGTTTTCCTAGACCTTCGATAATTTGATGAAATCAGAAAGATTATTTCTTTTCCATAAATGTGACCATGGTTTGTTTCTCGGCCTCCTGAATACTCTATTTAGATAGGGACCCCTATGCTGTGAGACGATGTAACTTGATCGATACGGTTAGATCGATCCGCGCAGGGAGCATATTCGTATCGTCCCGTCATATTTCCATGGATCCTAGCGCGTGCGGTCCAAGCCATAGCGTCGCGGGGGTAAATCGTCTCATCATTTACGAGCTAACCAGGGATGAGGCGGGCAATCTCCATGTGCTAAGAATTCACACCCTACTTCACACGCATCGTGAGACGCCGCCTACCCAAAATCGGCCTGGGAAACTCATAGCAAGCTAAGATGAGACGAGCTTAACAGGTACCCGGGTAACTGTCTAAAAGAGTGCTCTCCGTTGTGCCTGACGATCTAAAACCCGAAGCCATGGATACATCTTACTCCACTGTCATGGCGATCATTTGTATAAATACTTCGTATTAATCTCTGCAACCCAGTGCTTCATCCGTATCATTCAGTTCTTGACAGAAATTCGTTTCGATCTTCTCATTATTATCTACTTCTTCTTGGCTGGGCCATATAATTTTCTTTAATATCTCTAATAACCTCTTGGCTACCAACTAGTTACATCTATCTGTTCACCATGAAGTTCATCAATGTCCTTTTTCTCGCTGCTTCCGTGTCGGCTGTTGCTATTGATCGCATATACGTCGGTTCTGTGAGATCGACCGACCTGGAAGAGGCATCGTCCCTGCTGGCCAGGCACCATGCGGGCCGGTCAATAAACAACCAGGGTAACAGAAATGGAAGTGGGAAAGCTAGCAAGGCGAAACAAGGAGGTAACTCTAACGCGGGCGCCGCCACTGGTAATATAAATAACGGTGCGACTACCGGTGTCGCTGCCGGCAATACCCTTGTCTTGAAAGAAGTCAACGGCGTACCGGGCAACGAATGTCTCACTTTTCGCAATAATGGTATGCTTTCCACCATGTATAGCTATTTCTAGCGAGCAGATACAATCGCTCTTTATTTTTTTGCCCTATTTACTTACGGACTTCTATAGGTGAGATTGTCGATGCCGCTTGTGTCAATACCGCAGCCGACCGACAGATCACACCGACGACGCTAAACGGCAACTCCGTCCTAAGCGTACAGCGTAGCTTCACCGCCGGGTTTCGCCCGGACCTTGTCGGCGTTAATGCTTGCGTCGGTTTCAATGGCACACACTTCCGAGCTGAGGACTGCGCCGCCTCCAACATCGAGCTTGTGCAATTTGACGGGACAGCACTACGGGCTCCTAGTGGCGCTTGTGCTCAGGGTCATGACGGTGCTGCTCAGATGGTTGTCGATACCACAGGTGCTAGCTGCGCGACTTTCCAGAGCACGACTGTTACGCCCACACCTCCGTAAAGGGCGAAGAGGAAATTTTGTTGGGTCAGTGATAAAGTAATTAAACAAAGTATTTATTTAATCGCATTTCCTAAGATGCATCTTATGTAATCTCTTACATGTGCGATATATACACCTTATGAAAATGAGATCTTACAAGTTGTCGATGTTGATGTGCAAAACGTAGGTGACAGATGTATCAACTAAAGAAAAAGTCTTAATGGTAGATATTTCTATACAGCTATTCGTTGACGTCATGACGATTCATGATACATTCACATATCAATCGGCTACGATACGAAATACAATAGTAATACACATGCCCCTTCGAGTATTCCTTACCATAATTGCTATCTGATTACTATCCGCCAATGACTATATCTCCCCGCCTCTTAAAGGCTGGAAGGATAAGCCCCAAGCCTATAACGCAAGCGTTCGTAACGAATCAGCTAACAATCGTGGTGGGTTCCGCCACTTCGCACTCAGATACAGTAACCCATCATCGAAGACGCGAGAATCATAAGCCGAAAATCGACATCCCTGAAGGAAAAGAGGCTTACTACGTCCTAAGTTTGCAAACGAACGCCGCACATCATCGGGCCACGTGCGTCATGCGCGAGCAGTACTTCCCATCCTCCCTTCTCCGTGTGGGCGCCCATATCTCTCTATTTCGCGCTTAACCGGCTTCTGGTCTTACATCTCTTAGGGAAGATATCACATCAGCAGCAGCACGTATAACATCCTCCAGGATTTGGGCTGTGGGCCTGCCAATCACGATGGGGCGCGGAGGTGTGGCGATTCCGGTGCTAGGTCTCGAGCCAGTAGAGGGTTTAGTGAGGGAGCTCCGGGAGAAGTGGCGTAACGTGTTAAGTCGGCAGGACTGTGGTGCGTTTCGTGGTCACTACACGGTGATGGATAAAGTAGATGATCCGGAGACAGTAGTGCGGTGTGTTGAGGAACTACGCTGCAAATTTCAGCCCCAAGGGTATCCGGGAACAGCGTTAGGGCTGAGTTTATGGTGGTATGATCATGGCTGGTGGCGCCATGAGACAGACTTCCCATTTTTAAAGGCTGAAGTAGGGGATTCGTAAGAAGGGATAGAAGTTGAAGATATACTGTAGTTACCTAGCTACTTTATTTATTATATACTCGAATTCATATTTACTCCTTGCCCCCCAATCCTTATTTTCAGGCGGGGTGGCACACCAGTATATGTTACGAAGCGATGCTTATTCTCCAGGCCGTTGTGGGCTCCGATAAGTGGATCCTCCGGTCGGAGACTTTACGGGCTAGCGGCGGAAACATTTAAGGGCCCCCACCCGGCCGCTAAGCCAAATTGGCGGGTAAGATAGAATCGGGATGTGGTGCCATCCGGGGCTATTCGTGGGTGTTTTGTACATGCTAAATCGAATGGGAACCTAAACTACAAGAATTTTAATAATATCGTTAGCGCAAAACGCGAGCCCTCCTCAAGTGCCCAAGCCAAAAGTCACCGATAGGTATATGTCTCCGATAAAATACCGCCTCTAGCACGCCAACAGGTAATACAAGTGCAATGAAGTAAATCAAAAGGCACCTTTTCGGAATCATTTGTTTCGGTTGATAGTATAAAGCTCACTTCATACAAGTCTTTTTTAACAATACCACATGATTTCAACGACTCCCATCTATCTCTATATTAGCAATTTCAAAACCAACATAATACGAAGTATACGAATATCATAAGCCTAAAGATAGCCATGGCTACCGCACCCATAGTTGACGTTCTAATTCTCGGCGGCGGACCCGCAGGGCTCGCATGTGCCGGAGCGATAACGCGACAACTACACAGCGCCATAATCTTCGGCAACAATACATTTCGTAACGCGCGTGCGCAGCACATGCACAATGTTACCGGGTGGGACCACGCGGACCCAGCGGCCTTCCGTGCTCGGGCTCGTACTGATCTGATCGAGCGGTACGCAGGCGCTGCAGGTATCCAGTTCCGTGACGTCAGCGTCTCGAGCGTGCGGAAACTAGATGATGGTGAGCGAGGAGGGACTAGGTTTGAGGCCGTAGATGTCGAGGGGGCTAAGTATCTGGGAAGGAAGGTTGTACGCAGAGGTGTGGGGTTATGGGATGTAAGCCCCCCTTTCTCCCTCGATATACTCCTATGTTTCGACTCACGAGTCACGACTAATCAAGAATATTAGCTTCCACTGTCTTTCCTGCCACGGCTTCGAGGAGCGGGGTCCCGCATCCGCAGGTGTTCTGGCGACAGGTCCTTTTCTCGGAGGCTGAGGTGACAACGGCGCACCACTAGTGGCTCCCGTCATTTCGCGCAAGGCCTCTCGACTCGCGGGCCATGTCACCATATATACCGATGGTAATAAAGAGCTGGGTGCACGCATCCGGGCACAGCTCAAGAGCACCCAGAAATTCAAAATCGAGAACCGTCGTCTCGCACGCGTAGCTAAAGGTCCAGATGTAAAAGGCGAGGCGGGTGTGCTTGTTAGGCTAGAGGACGGGAGTGTCAACAGGGAAGGGTTCTTGGTGCGATTTAGCCTCTTCCTAATTTTCATGTGTAAGTTCACCAACACAATTATGAATGAACAAGCTCATGCTCCCGTCCTTGAGATAAACGGCCCGTTCGCGGCAGACTTGGGTGTGACACCGACATTGCAGGGCCATATCGATGCACAGCAGCCGTTCTACAGTACCAATGTCCCCGGCGTTTACGCGGCGGGCGACTGTGCCACGATGATCAAAGCCGTACCAACAGCTACCATGATGGGAGCCTGCGTGGGTGCGGGCCTAGCCCACGCTCTGCAGGCCGAGGATGATGTAGAGGATTAATACAGGAAATAGCGAAGAAAATGGAAAGTTGACGTCTCTTCCGTCCACCAAATAAGGGGCTAAAAGTATAAACTTATAAGAAGCTTGATCTTCTTCAAGTCCTATATTGAAGTTAATATGATAAAGCTGACCAGTTGCTTGTATAATGTTAGGTTTAATTTGAATCGAAGTATATTTACCTACTATTTGCCTGCATTTACCCATAGATAATGTCGCAGAGGAAGCACAGAAGATTTACATGTCCGTGATCATATTTGCTGTATTGTCTGTGGCTCCAATGGCTAGACTAAAGCTGCATTTTTATTGAAAACTAAAGATTGAACATTCAAATATTTCTCCTAGGATATGACTGAGAAGCGACGCAAGTGCGGCATCATGTGTGTATGGAGCGTAATATGAGCGCAAATTCATGTTCCAACCTAGCTAATTCATGACTTGTAAAGCTACCATAATATTGAGTATTTTACCCATCATTGGGTCATGTAATATTATGGACGACGGGCATTGAAGCATTATAATAGTTTATCATATTTTGCAATCGGCTGACCAACCATTGGTAGCTTGCTATATTATTCTCAGTAGGACATACCAACGCTATAATGCACAGCATTTCTTCAAAATTAGTATACATCAACATTAGTATACATCAACATAACTGCGGTTAGCGCCTTTCCACTTAGGAAATGTCCCAGTCCTCTCCAGCCTCGTAGTCCATATCATGCTGATCGCGACCGTGTGCATTACTGACTTCTCCTTCCTCTAGCCCGACCGTCACACTACTATCTTCAGCGCTGGTCTTATCTCTGGCCCCTTGGTCGTCTTCTATCCCATTCGTCATAGGTACATTATCATCGGCATGAGTCTTCGTTTCAGACTGAGGTGCAGATGTGGCCCACGTAATTTCGACCTTGTCCTCAAGTCCGGGAATCGCGTTATTGGCAGACACACCCATCATAAACTGCTCTGCTGTTTTACGGTCCTTGAACGTAATATGCGTTGTGGTCGGATCAGTGTGGATTTCCTTGAACTCCCCAATACCCTATAACGGATTAGATATTAATAGTAAATATAGATCTCTTTGCAACTCACAAAAAGGTATTGTCGTAAGGCCTCGTCCTTCTCCGAATTTGTAAAGTCTACGCCAGACAGTGCGATTATCTTGGGCCTGTTGTCCAAAGAATACGCAGCATAAGCTGCGTGTCTAGCTTCTATGCCTCCTCTGCCTTGGTAGCTATGTCCGCCCCTGGTAGCTCTCGCGGCGTAACGTCCACGGCCGCGATAGCCTCGGCCACCTCTACCACGACCTCTAGCAGACCATGATGAGTCCTCCTGAATGGCGTCCGGATCAATTCCTAGGACGTTGGCCTCCTCTTCTAAAGCTGCTAATTGGGCTCTAAGAGCCTCCGTCTGTGACGTAGGCTTTTTAGTAGTACCATCTGTTGCTTCTGAAGACGGATTTTTTCCAGCGAGTTTAGCCTGAAGCCTGCGCTTCTCCTCCAGTTGTCGCGCACGAAGTTCTTTCTGACGTTCTTCTAATTCTTGGCGTTGACGCTCTAATTCTTCTCTCTTCCTGGTCTTTTCTTCGTGGGCTTTTTGTGCCTCTTCCTGTTTGCGCATGAATTCATCCATGTCAAAGGGTTCGGTAGGCGCACTCTCTTCAATGAGCAAATTGCCATTGGTAGTTCCATTCTTTGCCCCATTTCCGACTTTCCCATTGACCGAATTTGGTCTAGACTCGACATCGTCCTTGTGCCAAAACACCTTCACAAACCGGTTATCAAAGATTACTTTTGGCGAGCTCCAGGCGGCATGAGCTGCATCCCAAGTATCAAACCTAACAACCGCAAGGCGGTCAGGTCCCTGTATTGAAATATCTGTGATATTGCCAAATTGAGAAAAGTATTCACGCACTTTCTCTTCGGTAAAATATCCACTGGGAATGTTCTGGACTACGATGGCGGTCTTGGTCTTGTCATGTATAGGGCCGCTTGCCGTATTAGGTGGTCGACCCTTCGTCCGTCTCGACTTGTTATGTTCGCGACGGTTGGCAGGGGCTGCTGTGGGAAAGGGGGGTAGATTTATGGGCTGAAATGCCTGTGGTTGGTGTTGATTCGCTAGGAGTGGCATTGGGAAAACGGCATTGTTAGGATCATATTCTACGACAAGTTAGCGATGATTAAAAGGTTAAGTCATGTTCCTAGGAAATCTACTTACCATCATTTGCCGAAGGTGGAAGTGAAGGCATCGTTAAAGAATCAGAGCCATGCTCGAACTTGCAATTGCTCCCTCGAGAACAGTAGCCCCGAGTCTCATAATCCCTACACTTTTGTCTTCTCCGACGTGGCGGAGGAATAGGGCCCGAATAAACAGGTTTAGGAAGGTCAGGTAATTGAGGAATAGGAATATCGAGTTGATTCATCCTCTGGATATTTTCCATAAGGTTGTCCAAGTTTATCGGCGGCATACCTTGGCCATGCGTAGAGGGTTGAAATGACGGTGGCGGAGGCAGTCCAAAACGACCATTAGACCTAGAAGATGCCGGGTAAGGACCAGGAAACCCATTTTGATCTCTTGGCTTGTAAGATTCATCGAATCTCCCACCACGCTGTGAGAAGCCACCTCCTCTACGAGGTTGCTTGTAGGGCTGAGCTCCGGAATAAGAACCTTGGCTCGTTAAGATGATGTCCACGTCATTATCGTCTCGATCATTATACGTGCGCTTCCGCGAGCCGTTCTGGGGGAAGGCTGGAACCGTCGGTGTTGTGTTATATGGTACATGAGGTTGATATGAAGGTATTAAGGGCGCAACTGGAGGAGGCGCAAGAGCTTGACGATCGCTAGGAGGCGCAGGGGGAGCTCCTGGCAAATAAGAACGATACTTGACGGCTTGAAAGACGTCACTTGTAAAGGCGGCCGCGTCTGTGGTATATTAGATATTTAAGACACAATGTGAACTTGTTAAAATGAGGAAGATATTATACCTTCTCTGAGAAAATCAGGAATTTCTTCCTCGAACATCTTACGAATGGACTCGGCGTCGCCATCGTGTCGCAGGAGAGCTAGGACGTAATCGGCAAGTACATCTGCATCTGCATCGGATCTAAAAGTAGGGGAAAAGATATAAAGGTTAGTAATAGCGATATAATAAGAAGTTCAAGAACAGAAGTCTAAACGAGGTTAGAAAACATACGTATTGGCAAGACGCCTTATGATCCAAGCTCTAAGAAGAGACGCGTCGCTCTCTGGAAACAACATTGTCAATTGGAAGCTTAGATCCCTATCTCACCATTGAAGTACGTTTTCCCCGACAAAGGAAATAAAGTGGTGAAGTTAACCAGTCGTGAATATTATGTGTTAGGAGCTGATGTTGTATCGAGTAACAAAAAGTCGACAAGTTTCTTGTCGGTGATAAATGATTTACAATCGCCGTTGATCTGATCAAGCTCCCAAGACAGAAAAAAAGGTACAAGGCTGAAAAGGATCAATGCGGTTCCAGAAAAATTCCACTGACGGGCGCGATGTCATAAGCGGGCAGCCCTGGTCAAAGGCAATAGGCACGTCCTAGTACTTTTTAGCGGGTCCACTACGAGTGTAGTTACACAATGCATTCGCGACTGCGAGATGTCAACTTGCGCCGAGGTAAGCAGTCCGCAATTCTATTGTAGGTACACGTGGGTAAGGGTCTTTTTTATATACCTTAAGTACCTAAGGTAGGTAGTTATAATTGCAGTCAGCGTATCCTTAATTAACGATTTGATTATATAATTACGAACTGGCTCTTTCATCAATAAACAGAGGCATTGTATAAACAGTTATAGTTGGTAGGTATATACAAGGTACGTACTTTTTTAGGTACTATTGAAGTAGGTCTTACATCTTGACCGGTAATGCACCTTAGTACATACTTACATAAAGGCAGTGTGAATTCACCAATCACAAATCATACATTATACGCCAATAGATTAAATATCCTTATAACAATCATATGGGTTTAAGAGAATCTTTTTTTTTTTTTTTTTTTTTTTTTACAAGGTTGAACTTATCTTTTTCTACATGTATAAAAGTAAGGCAGTAACCAGGCAGAAAGGCGTCAGAAAAAGTGGCGCATCCTACCAGATATACTGAAAACACACTAACTTCTAACAGTTATAACTTCATACGGTCGACTCTAGAAAAACAATAAAATACATTGTATGAAAGCCCCGAGCATGGCCTATTTAACCATATATTTTATTTAAGATAGGGTTGACATATGGTGTTTTAAACAGAGGTGGTTTTTCTTCAATATTTAATACTTTACATTAATAATATCACTTATACGTATACAACGAATTAAATCTCAAAAAATAATTAAAAATCATTTAGTTGATACTTAAAGGCATTATTTTATTCTAGTAATTTTTCCAAATTTCTTAAAGCTGCGTTTAGGTGTACAATTACGTTTTGAAATATATTGCTTTTGTATGTGCTGGTAGTGGTGCGCCAGCTTTTTTGACGCCTTTCTGCCAGGTACCTGGCTATCCCTTCCCGCCGGAATCCGGGGGATAAGATAGAAGGTATGTACATTTAATACATAAGTTACCTAGGTACTTGGTATATTCTCGAATTAGTCGAATCAATTTTCACGTATGTACCTAATACCTTGACATTCACATCGTCTTATTTCAAATTACAAATGTTGCTTAAACGTGTTACCGGAATTTCCATATGATTAAGACGTGATATTACGATTCTTTAACATACAGATATAGCATTAAGCTCTCAGATCCTTGGGTTTGTTCTATAAATTAATCGTTTGCACCCAACCGCCAGCCATAAATAAGCGCTGCCCAAATCCCATACCACGACTTATCCTCCAATCCTGCCGAGTAACACCAATCACTATCGAGATTGTACGTCCAAGTAATCATGGCTTTCACAATGCATTCCCACTCGGGCCAGTTCTGCCCTGGCCATGCAAAAGATCAGCTTGAAGACATCGTCAAGCACGCTATCGGTCTCGGTTACACCACCCTCGGGCTTACAGAACACATGCCGCGGACCGCGCTTGAGGATCTATACCCCGAGGAAGTAAGTTAACCCCCTGCAGATGGTTAATCCGTATAAATACAAATATATACCTAACACTTCCAGCTTGACAACCCCGAAGGCTCCCTCGCAGAGCTCTTTCCGCGGCACGAGGCATACCTCCTAGAGGCCCAACGCTTGCAGATCAAGTACGCTTCTCAGATCCATATCGTGATCGGCTTCGAGGGCGAGTGGCCGCGGCCCGCCTACGCGTCCATTGTGACGCAGCTTGCTTCTCACCCTAGCATCGATTATTTCGTCGGTAGCCTGCACCACATTGACGGGATTCCTATCGACTACGATGCCTCGTACTATGCGCGGGCCATCGCCTCTGCCGGAGGGTCTGAGGAGCTGGCCGCAGAGCGGTATTATGATCAGCAGCACGCCATGCTCATAGCTCTCCACCCGCGCATCGTCGGCCACTTCGACCTCGTTCGCCTTCTATCCTCGGAGCCGGGACGCGACATGCGGACGACTTGGCCGGGAGTCTGGGACCGGGTGTGCCGTAACCTGCGGGTTGTAGCCGAGTACGGCGGGTGGCTAGAGTGCAATAGCAGTGCTTTACGCAAGGGGCTTGCAGAGCCGTACCCGGCACGACCAATCGCTGAGGAATGGCTGCGATTAGGGGGGCGGTTCACGCTCTCGGACGACAGCCACGGCATCGCACAGGTAGGCACTAACTACGGTCGCGCGCTTGAATACCTAGCTAATCTAGGCGTAACCAATTTATGGACCCTACGGCGGGAGCCTCACCCGGGACTCTCGGCCAAGGGCGAGAAGGTTAAGTTAGTGGAAGTGGAAGTCCCGCTGGAGAGTATCAGGGCCGTAGTAAGCAAGTGGTGATCGGCTAGGATCAAATATGACTAAAAGAGCCGGGAGAAAATACATATTTATTTAAAAGGGCCAAGTTACATCTGCGGGATTCGTGAGGTCTAAGAAGGTAAAAACGGCCCGGAGAAAAGGGGGTCAACTGGTCGGTCGTCTATATACCCATTAATAAAGATATAATAAAGGTAAAGCAAAATCTAGACTAGTTTCCTAATAGATTTTTTGTTCCGATCTTACCAAATGGGATTGCTAAAATCTGTTACAGAGTTCGTAAGTCCTGCTGGCGATTGCAAACCTCTCAGCTCTCAGGATCACTGATTACTTAACACCTAAGAACATACTGATTACCTCGTAAATTTATCGCGAGCATTGCTTAAGATGTGATGGTCGAAGGAAATGAACATAGCATAGGATATAAATTACATCGTGTAGCATTTATAAATAATAACGCTACCATCTCTATATGGTATCGCGTCATCTAGTATCCCAGCACTAAACACTTGAGTGTCGACCTACAAAATCACTCCTGCCTTACTAAAGAAACACCCATTCGCCCACCGTTTACTGAAATTCCGGATAATGCATGGAATTTCCATCCATCAAATCATTCCGTTGGACTCCCCTGGTGTTGACACTCCCCTAAACCGAACGTGAAATGCTGGAACTGGAAGGGAGGAAATGTATGAAATACCATGTAATAGTGCATGCATTAGGTACTTATTGGGGTATCTTTTGACGAAAAATGCGTCTTTCTAATCTTCCCTCCCCTAGAAATGAGACCTGTGTTGGTGGTGGTACATGTTCGTGTATTTCTCCGTCGCGACGCCACGCCCCATTGTGTGCCCTCAAGGCAAATCAAACGCAAAACGCAATAGAAAATAAAGTCGTTAGTCATTATCATTAAATAAAAGCTTCCCCTTTATAGACACTAGAAACGAAAATGTCCTTCTAGAGAAGCCGCAGATTTGGAATTCGGGAAGTTATCCATCAGTGAGCTCCACATTATCAAGCCATGTCCTAACCGCGGCTCGTAATATGCTCTCCTTTTCGCGGTTTATTTGGTAAGGAATAGTCGGGTTCGGTATTTGGCTTTCTCTCTCCCGCTGGTCTACAACGTCCTGTACAACTCCGGATAACGCAGATAAGACAACCATCTTACATTCCGCGCGTGGTACTTCCTGGAAGTCAATTTGATACGTCGGGACCTCTTGCTCTGTCGTTCGAGAAGCTTCACTATCCCTTCTCTCTCTCCGTTTGCTCGCTGATCGTGAAGACGTAGCTGAACTTCCCTTGCTCACATCACTACTATGGGCGATGACTCTCTCCACGGCGTCGATAAGTGCTTCATCGAAATTAAAGAGCTCCTCTTCTTCGATTTTATCCTTAATAGGCTGTTCGTAAGGCGAGAGCGCTGGTGTTATCAAAGAAGAACCATACGGCGATAGGTAACTAGCCGTATTGCGGTCAAGCAATATTTTGGGCTTGACTAGACGGCGATAGCGGAGCCGTTTAATGGTAAAGTTGGTTGTGTCGGCGATAATAGCACTGCTTACGTCAACCCAGTGTTCCGCAGGCCACTCTGCTGGTATCGAATTAAGATGCATTGTAGGGGTCGGTTCCGCGGCTAGAGATTCTCGAACTTCATCTAGGAGATCACCCTGCGGTGGGATTGCCTGTAACGTAAAATCCGGGTGAAAGCGTTTTAACCACCCGGCAACATTTAAGGGAGCATCGCCATCAATAGCCAGTCTAGAGAACTGTTCGAAGCCCTCGAGCCCACTACCTAGGCCAGGAGTCGAGAGATAACCACTACTAGACGGCGAACTGACGGCGGTTTCAAACGATGTGAGGTAGTCTGGGAACTGTACATCCACGTCGATTACTCCGTCATCGTTATTAATCGACGTCTTCACGGGAGATTCGTATGCACCTAAGGGATCTGGTGTTCTCGACTGAGACTCGAGCTGCTTACTTTCTAACCTTCGAGGGGTATCTGGTTCTTGAAGTGGAGTATGTTCACCTTCCGCCTGTTGCTTAGTGGATGTATCGAGTAGCTGAGCTTCCCGAACCATTTCTGAAAGTTTGTCCCTGCCGCTAACCGTTGCTTGAATAGGCGATGTGAGTGGACTATCGGGATGACCGAGAATATCCGATGTCTGCGACGTGGTAGCGGTTGAGTCTCGTCGTCTAGTACTCCACAAGCCGCTAATCACACTTCCCCATCGGGAACCTTGACGAGAGTCAGTACTCGCACGGCTAGCGTGGCCAGTACTATCACCCCTTTTGAGTGTCCGCTTTAAATCATCCGCGGCAAAACTGCCACCACTGTTTGGTCGGGTGCCGCGGCTGGTACTACTCCGGTGCACTGTAGAGAAGTGTGGAATAGCCGAGTCCGGGACGATTGTATTGGCTGTCGCGGCGCTGCTCTTTCGCGTGTTAAGATCGTTCCCAACAATAGGTAGGTTCGCTGGCTTGATGAAATCCGACGATCGACGTTCTTGGTTAGAGAGCTCCATGCTGAGATGCGCGAGCTGTGCAGGAATACCCGTTACAGACCTCGTTGTAGCTTGCGACTGTATACTAAAACTTCGCGTATGAGAAGCACCTCTCTGCCCTTGACGCCGATTGATTTTCCGGCGTAGAGACTCTTCCTTATTGATCGGTACTATGTACGATGGTGGCGAGTGGCCAAAGGCCGCAACTGATGCGGAGGTTGCTGGGCGCTGGGCACGGACTGTGGGTAGCTGCTGGTTAGCAGGCAGAAAGGCGGAGAGTAAGAATATCAATCTCCTGGCAGCCATTTTGTCCTTGGCGATTATAATCGTGCGAGATGGTAAGGAGGTATCTTCTTCGTTTTTTACTTTTTGTTGTTGATAACGTCGCCTCCGGTACCAAACTGGACTTAATGCTTGGAGCCATTCGGTGTGCGTCGAAAGAAACGCCGTCAACAGATTGAAAAAGAAAAATCCCTGCTCCCTAGTCCCAGCCCATTTTGCAACCCATCTTGCCTCCTCCCTCCACGGTCCCCAACGACCCTGCCCTGTTATAACTCTTGTAGCTCGAAGACCAGACACAATTCGTATCTTAGCGTCGTCAATTTCTTGGCCAATGCGTGGATCTTGCGCTAAACAATTGGGAGGTAGTGTTACGAGTTTTGCATTCGTCTTAGACGGTTTCATCTGAGATGCATCCGAGTCTCTTCGACTCTTCACTGATGATGTTCGAGCGATCTGAGCAGCTACGTTCGAGGGATATGGATCTGGAGCTGACATATCCGCCTGTTTCAGCATCGGGATCAATGTCGTGGCGACTATAGATTGCAGGTGGGTGAGGGTCCTCATAATGATGTCCCAGTGCTGAGTGATCGCATCCATGCGATCCTCGACATCGTTACTATATGCCGACTCAAATGATTCGGAGCCGAACCCGGAACCGATCATCGTCCACCCAGATCGGCGCGCAGATCCGAAAGAGGAAGGAAAAAAGTCCTGTTCATTATAAGAGCTTGGTCCTCGAAATACGGGCTTCGACGCATTTGCTGGTGCGGCATTAGGCGGGTTTGAAGGAAGTTGAAGAACTAAAGCGACGGCATACATCGGCGTCCTCTTCTGTATCGGCTTCGACTTTTTCTTGTTAGGCTTAGAATCGTCCGGGGAATAAGGAAACGGGAATCCTCCGCTATCCTCGGAAAAGCGGCTATGGGATGTTGTAGCCTGAGTAGGCGAATCAAGATCGTCATTTGGTAGGTTGACTGGAAACAGGCGGGTCACCAGAATCTTGCTGCGGTCCTGCTGCCGGGGAGGCGCGGAAAACGCTTGGAAATGTGCATTGGCCGACTCCGACGTAAAAGATTGTGCTAACCTGCTTGATCTCATACTGGATCTCCCCATCGATCCTCGCCCATCTCCCACGTATGAACTAGAGACGGCGGATGGCCGCGGCTCGCTTGGAATGATGTGAACCTTTGTCGATGTCCCCTTATAAGACATTACTTCAGAGTTAGCAAAGATACAACTGGAGAAGCTGGCCAACTCTTCACGATATTCCCTAGCAGCTTTTTGGGACTCAGTCTCCGCAGCACTATAGGCGCGGGACTGGGCGGATCCACGTCGATCAAATGCACCTTGCCGGGGTTGAGGACTGCCAGGCTGGATAATTAGTGGCCTCGAGGTTTGTCCGAGACTACTCTTCCGCGGCGATGTAGGAGCACGTCGAAGATCCTGCATGAGCGACTGGGAGGATGAAGCTGCACTCGATGGCTGTGGGCGATCAACTGGTGAACTAGGTGATGGGACTTGGTGGCTATCAAACAATAACGATGGACTAGCAGAGCCTAAAGCGTCTTGCATGATTATGATGCGAACATCGCGCACGTCGATATCAATATCGCCGTCATAGTCGAAGGGGCTTGCGGAAGCCCCGGGTTGAACACCAGACGTGGACGATAACGGAAACACCTGATCGTGACGATAATAGAGCGCCTGCGTATCCGGGAACAAGAGGCTCCGCGTATGAACATCTTCCTGTATCGACTCGGGTGACGGTTTAGTCGGGAAAGAATCTTCTTGGGAATTTGTACCTCCAGCCGTTCCCGACGTCAGATTAAACAGCTTGCCTAACATTGTTGTTTTGGGTACTTTCAAAGCCTAATATACCGGATATATACCTAACCTAGGTAAGTCATCAACAACTCTGGAGTTGTAAAAACTGCCGATGTCTTAACAAGCACCCATCCAGTGGCGAGGGCCCTCCGCGGCGTTGACCATGGCGTAGAAAGACATTGAAACAGGCGCAATGAAGTTATCTCTGAGTGATGTAGGATAACACGATGGTGAGAGTCAGATGATGTAGTTATGGCGATAAACAAGAAATCGAATCCACGACAAACTGAAAGCTGAATATGAACAAGGCAACTGTATCCAATCTAAAGGAATGTCGTAGGCCACGAGGCCATGGAGTGACAAACTGAGTACAAGTCGCACGCGTTTAGTTGAAGACTCGTAAGAGCGTGAAAGTGTAAGAGCACTGTAATAATGTGCGTAATCGGAGATGAATGGATACGACGGACAGGGGCGCAGAGTTGAGTCGCCTTCGAGGACACGTTGTTACTCAATGAACCGTTTTGCCGAACAAATTCAAGTAGGCATATGTAAAATCCGGGGATGATGCAAATGAATCTTAGAAGATTTACGCGTAATGAGGTAAAAGGATGCGAACTGTGAGTAAGAGAAAGGAA